TCGTTCCAAAAAAACAGCATACAATGCAAACCAAGACTCCTTCAAAATAACACACGTTTCAAAGAATTGCGTTAATTTCGCTAATCGTGTTGAGTTGCTTTCTAACCCTAGTTTGCCGGCCTCGAGTATTTTAAACCCAAGCTCTGCAGTTTTTAACGTTATTTTTTTTACATTCTGCACCTCCAATCAATTTTCGGATAATGGCTTACACAATTCTCTACCAACTATGAAGCGTCATGGGGATCACAGACGAGAAGAGACAGCCCTGCCATGCAGTTTTATTGGCACAGATTTCCCCGTTTGTCTATGCACTTATTTTACAATGATTCTTTTTCTTCTTCTTCTCCTTTTCCTGAAAGTGTTGCAGGTTCCCCGCCTCCTTTTTTCTTTGCTCCTGTGATTATAAAAAATGTTACAATGGACTTACAATGTCATGAGAAGATTGGTCTTTAATGACACAGCTTGTTAGATACCGTGGAAATGTACCAAATTCTCTTTTTTATATCTCTTAATTACAATGGACTTACAATGTCATGAGAAGATTGGTCTTTAATGACACAGCTTGTTAGATACCGTGGAAATGTACCAAATTCTCTTTTTTATATCTCTTAATTTAATATCCATCATTTTTTTCTCCAATGTTACAGATGAATGATGCTTTAGGCAGCCTGTTCAATTGGATCTATTTCATTCCTCTGATAGTCTTGGGTTCATTTTTTATGCTTAATTTAGTCCTTGGTGTTCTTAGTGGGTAAGTGTCATTCTTATTAACTTTGTAAGTCTTATATTTTTTAATTCTTGTTCACTCGTATTTTAAAGACAAACGGGCAGGGTGAAATTCAATAGAAATGTGCTTCGTTGTATATTTACGACATACATGGTATCAGCTACTCTACTTACCAAGTTATTTGGTACATTTACAAAACGGAATAAATTGTTTTACCGTTAAACACTTCTTTGAATGTCCCGGCCATTTTTTGTGAGAGGGAATAGGAGAAGGACTAAAATATACACTAACTGACTCATAAATGCATGATAGAATCATGTATGCTTTCATTTTATTTTTACGGTCCATGTTTTAGGTATGAAAAACTGAGAAAATATTTTTTTAAAAGATCCTAAGGGGTGCAATGACTTTAATTTTTTGGGGGTTTTATGCCAAATTTGTATTTACTGTTAGTGCAGTTGAAAATGGCCGGCAAATTATTTTATTTTACATTCAGTTATTTGGTAACTCTGATAAAACGTCGTATTCTGATGGGAACTGATTGTGAGAGGAACAGCCCTGAAAAAACCAAAGGCGTTGGAGAAGAATCTGAATATAATAACATGGGGTTTTCTTTTTCTTTATGATAGTTATGAAAAATTTCCTCCAAAAAGTTCATCATCGTCAGAAAAGCCTGGTTTAATGTTTTTATTCACTGATAGACCCATTCCTTTCTTTCAGAGAATTTTCAAATGAAAGAACTCGCGTTGAACGTAGAGCAAAATATCATAAAATGCGAAAGAAAATTATGTATAAAACCATGTTTTCAACTTATATTGATTGGATTGAACAAGCAGGTATAAAGAAAGTAAAAGAAAATTTAGTGAAGCTTTTAGACTCTAATCTTCTTAATTTGGCATTCGAATTGTATACATATCTGACGTAATTTTATTACAGTTGCATCCATTGAGTTTACTAGTATTCTAATCCTTAATTACTTTGAGTCATTCATTACAATAAGCACTTGAATAGTTTTTCAATAATACAACTTTGATAGAAAAGAAAACAAAAAAATCAAATTTTTAGTAAAAAGGTTTGACGCATTATTGGTATTTTGGTAAAGACACGCATTCGGACCTTTTTAATTTTAAAGTATACAGTAACTCCTTCCAGTTGATTAGTCTCTAGATTTGCTTTTATTTATCTTAATTCAACAAATGATCAGTGCGCAACTTGGAATCAGTATTTTTTACCTTCCCTGCCCATATAGTCAAGTAACCTTTTCCGCATTTTAAATTTCTCTCGTACTAATCGCTCATGTTGTATCATACGCTAGCCGTCTATATTTTGGCTGCAGGGTACCGATTTTCACCTACCAAATGACGTCATTTTGAGAACATTGTACCACTAATGCGCAGTCTTGGAGTAATAGATGGCGCGCTTTATTGCGATCGGCGGGAGCCCAGCCACTCGATACGTGTATAGAGTCCCAATGTTTGCTGGATTATTTTGAAGCCGTTTTCATGGCGGGAATGTATTTGAATTTTTGCATCGTGATAAATAATTCTTAAAATTAGATCCCATTAGATATTTTTTGTGCCTGAAAAGTTCTCTACTTTATACTTATTTATTAATTTGCTTCGAGCAAATCGTGATTCAATAAAGTACCTTCTGTTTACACCTGCAAGGCATGAAACCTTGTACGTTTTATATTCGAGTCTCTGATTGGTTATCATTGTGCGCAACGGACGACTGTGCACTAATTTCGTGTAACTCGTATGCATCCAGCCCACGTACAAACTAAAGGATTCAAATAAGTTCATCGATGCCTTTCCTTAACTTAGAACAAAAGCATAAATGAATGTGATAATTTTGATATATTTTCACGGCGCGCTCTTGAAACACTCAGTGTTGGAATTACCTGCTTGTTTCGTTTTTTATTCATAATACATTTATATTGTGAATAAATACATAACTATGTCCTGTATGAATTCTACTCTTAAGCTATATGCACATTTTTGAGTCACCCCATTTACTCTAGGTCCTTCTAGTAGTTTTTTTTTTTTAAAATAAGTAGCTAATACATCGTAGGTTTTTCAGTATCTTCTTTTAAAAAAATGTACAGCCTTTTATTAAGACGCAGTAGAAACTTCGAATACTACGGTAAACATGATAATCTGCCTTGTCTTCAACTCTTCTGTATCTTGCGCTTGTTTCTTTCAATTCTTAATTTGAATCCTTGTATTTTGTAGTGAATTTGCCAAAGAAAGAGAAAAAGTAGAAAACAGGCAGTCTTTTTTAAAATTAAGAAGAAAAAACCAATTAGAAAGAGAATTGAATGGCTATGTCCAGTGGATATGCAGAGCAGGTAAGTGTTCCCGCATCCTTCCGTTCACGTTACCTCATAGTAGATACATTTACTCTCGATTTCTTTACATAACAAAAAAGACTTGATGAAACCGTAATTTAATCGGAGTTTCGTGTAAATTTTGAGTTGCTCAACGACTCATCATCATGCTTCTTAAAAGAACGTGAAAAATTAGATAGCTCTCTAAGTATGCAAAGCGGTGCCAAAGTGAAGATCAATTTTATGGCAACCTATTGTTGGACGCGTCATCCAGCAAGGCAGGTCCATCTACGAACGAAATTTGGAAATAAAATACGTTGAAGTGCTTCAGCACGCACGTAATTTTACAAAAGCAACTCTGTAGATAGGCACGTTTTGCTTGACAATGAAAGCGTTCAAGTATTCTAGTTTGTCGAGGATAAAGCCAAGATAAGTATAATGGTAAGTTAAAAATATCGTAGGAAGACTTAGTTCATACAACGAAGTCCTCCATCCCTGTTTTTTCCTCAAGAATAGTGTTTTTTTAGTTTGCTTAAATTATTAGTTTTCAATTTCGTTTAGAGCTAAAATTTTTGTTTAACGCAATTTTAAAGCGTTACAATTATAGCGATATATCAATGCGATGACCCCCAAACCACAACCAGATGCTCCGAGGCAAAAGTGAATGATTCACCCTTTTACTATCACCAATTGATTACCCTGGTAAAAATTGGCAGTAGAATCTGTGTTCCAAAATACCATAGACCTACGGCCGGCTGTAAGATTACCAATAGCCTCTATAGCCGGCTACACAATTTCTTATAGCCATTTATAGCCCATGGCGATTAAGCAACTCACAGCCAGGCGATAAAGTGTATGCTAAACGTCACTAATTACGGATGCTAGGACTTAGTGAGTTTTTGGACCACTGCTCTCTTTTTGGGCCGTAGTATCTTGATTTTTTTTGCGAGGAAAGCTCCGTACTTTTGATGGATGCCTGCCATTCCTAATATATTAGAGCGCCTTCAGTTTCGTATGATACTGTGCAATACCTCTGGTGTGAAATAGTTGCTTCAAGCGCCGTGGCCGGTGCGGCAGGCGGGCAGCCAGCGCGAAACGCGCATTGGCGCCTACAAACCTAACTGGGATACTTCACGCATTGCGCAATGCGTGAAGTATCCCTGTTAGGTTTGTAGGCGCCTGTGCGTCGCCGCTCCGCTTGGTGTTAGGCTCTAATATTTAATCTGGCGTAGTCAGCGTTATTCAACTCATGATTTTGAAATGTTTGCACATTCTGTATGGATTATTCTCGTTTTAATTGATGAAAAAAATATATATTAAAGGAAAATATAACATGTGTTTTGTAAATATTAAGGTAGTTCCGTACCAAACTTAATGATTTCCAAAGCGCACGAATTTCTACACAATTTATTATAGCCTTTTATAATCGATGGCGAAAAAGCAACAGCCAGGCGATAAAGTGTAAAGCCCGGCGATAGGAACTATAGCCCGGCTGCATAATTTTTTATCGCTTCGTATAGCCCGACCGTACGATTTTCTCCGCATTCTATAGCCAGCTATATGATTTTCTGTAGCCTTCTTTAGCCGGCTATAAGAATTCCTATGGTATTTTGAAACGCAGCTTTTATCGCAAATTTTTACCAGGGTATGCAACCAAATAATCCTGCATTTCAAAAATAGTGGCTCAAAATTCTATACTCTTGATTTAAACTTTTATCAAATTAAATAATCAATATTTTTCAGTGAAAGTGTGAAAGGATATTCTTAGATAGAAGAAAGAAAATCTCGCAAAATGCTCTCTGATAAAAAACAGACCCTCTCCTTCTTCAAGATAGAATTTTAAACGGTGTTTGTAAGGGTATAAGCCGAATTACAGGATCTTCTAATTCCGTCGTGAATGCTCTAGTTTAACGGAGTTCATCTTCTTACAACTTGGATTGATTCTTTTTTCTTTTTATTTTCCAGAGGAAGTAATTCTCGCCGAAGGTAGAACAACCGAGGAGGAAAAGAAATATATCATTGATGGTAATTATAGCTCTAATTTTTTTCGCAATTCAAACTTCAAAGGTATCGTTTAAAATTCATAGGGCATTGTATCATTAAAAACGGTGGTAAGCGAAAATCAACCAAATTCGGCCAAATTTGGTCAACCAATTTCGGTTCAATCAAATTCGGTGGTTGAAAATCAACCGCTTACGAACACTCTTTGTTGAACGAAGTTAACTTGTACTTTCCAAAGACTATATTTATTCAAGTCCGGAGTATTATCGTCGCTTCTCTGTTCCAAAGACTATATTTATTTAAGTCCGGAGTATTGTCGTCGCTCCTCTGACGCACAGTGAATTGAGTCAATCGGAGAGGCTGGACATGAAATTTTTGACTGAAACTGCGAATTTTGAAGTTTAATTCGTCACATTTCAAATCTTTAGAGGCGGTTCTAGAGAAAAATTTCACGAGAAAACCAATGGAACTACTTTTAAAATCTCAAAACTTTGTACGAACGGAAGTATAACGACGGTGAAACTACCAAACCACGTATCTCGATTTGCGACGTCGCAGACTTCCTGTCATACTTTATTTTTTAAATGAAAAACTACTTAACATCCAGTCTTGAAAATTTCTGTGATTTTTCCTCTTTGTGCGGAAAAAATTCCGTGAAAATTTCAAGGAATGATATTGATTTGGTCTACTTCAAAAAAATAAAATGTGAGCGTAGATTTTTAAACACCGCAAACGAGATACGTGGTTTGGTAGTTTCACCGTCGATAAGCTTTTACAGTTTCCAAGTTTTGTCCGACCTCTCCTATTGACTCGATCCACCGTGTGACGTAAGATCGTATCTCGATGTCTACGTGAGCCCTATTTTACATTTAAATCCACGCTTTTGGGGGCTCATGTGGAAATTGAGACTCGCCCTCACGTCAGAGGAGCGACGTTATGTCGTTGAATAAATCACCCTTTGAGAGTAGGATTTCTTAACGAATTGAATTTCATATAAACTTCCTCCATCAAAGATTCCCTTGTTAAACTTATTGTCCATCAAACTTTTATTTTAAATAATTATTAATGGGTGGATTTTAAATTTCTCTTTAAATAAAGCTAGGAGAAGAGCGGCGGCGAAGAGAAAAAAGCTGAAAAACCTGGGAAAGAGTAAAAGCACAGAAACTGAAGAAGAGGCAGAAGAGGAGGAAGATGGCGAAGATAGTGAGTATATCATCATTGTTTTATCCCCCATCCCATTACATTTATCCCCCCTCTCCTTCCTCTAGAGACTTTTTTTCCCTTCACTCATTCATTAATTTGTCTCGAAAAATGACATCATATTTCCTCACTGTTACATTTCACCATCAAATAATTTAAAATAGTAATTGTCAATGGGAGAATCTCAAGGTTTTATCTAAAACTATTCTTGCATACAATGTAGCGGAGTAAAGCAGTATAGTTTTGCTTTGAGAACCAATCATTTAAACAGCTCTTCTGAGTGCGGATCTTTACCAATCAGCGTGGATAATTTCTAAAATCGTTTTCTTTCTTTTTTGCTTTACTTTCCCAAAAATCCCTTACAGAATCTCAAAGATTGCTTCAATGTTTTCCACAGAACCAGGAAAATTCTGCTTTTATTGAAGTTATCTGAGCAAAATATGATAGACGAGAGAATAGATTAAAATTAAATATCGGAATCATCACCAAAAAAGGCCAATGATGAACTCATTTTTTTTTATTAGGGGCCGTTCATAAATTACGTTACACTTCGAGGTTGAGTGAGGTGAAAGGGCTGGCTGTACGTGACATCACACGAAATTCCGCATAAAACGCTCATATTTTCATAATGTTTTGAAAGTTCTGATTAGTATTTCGATCAAAAGTCGGTTTAATGTAGTATGCTCTCCGGTAACCGTCACCGGATGACACAGGAGTGACGTGTGGCCTTTTAGTCGAAAAATATTAGTAAGTAACAGACTAGAAGGCCAAATTGCAATGTGTTAGGATTAGGTTTTCAGTAAGATTGAATATATTTTACGACTTAATTTCCAAAAAGAGTGGTAAAGCCGGTCACAACTTTAGGAAGTCTGCGCTAGCGTCAATAAAATGCTGAATACTGTTTTCGCTGAATTCTATCATTAGGGATGTACTCAACCGGCTTCTGAACCGGTAAAGTTCTAGTTTGTACATACGTTTTGAAAATTCGTGAATATTTTACATTTAGCTACAGTTATGAAAATGCTCTATCGTGTATCCCCAAGGAAGATAATCAGATAGATATCAACAGTCTATACGACGTGATTTTGTTAATGATGTAACTACTAAGTTGCCCCTTTTTTCTGTACCTACATTATTGACCATTTGAAATTATGTAAAAAGAATTTAGTCATTATTTGTCATTTAGGTTTACCTTTTGTTTCAGCGCCAGATAAAAAAGATAATAAAGGTAATTTATTTCACCTTCCGAAGGCTGTTTGTGCATTCGACACAATATAAATAAAACATTTCAAGCTTTGTAGAGCATATGACTCTTTTCTTGTCCGTAAACTTTGCGATAGAATCTTGAAATTTGTAAATAGAGTAGCTAAATCAAAGCTTTCAAGTAACTTTTGTCACGTGCTGGCGGTTCAAATTTCTCCCTATATACTTTGAGTGGAATTAGAGTTGAAGCAAGTATGTATTCGTAGCAACTAGTAATTACCAGTAGAGGTTTGTGTATATATTACAGTTTTCGCTTTGGCTTCTTGATTATTTATTTAACAAAGTAAAATGGCAGTGGATCTGAGTTGCTCTTGAAAAAAAATTGTACGTGCTGCTGAGGCCTGTTTTTTTCATCCTGTAAAATAGATTGCGTTCTCTTATGGATACAAAACATTTTTCTTTTACTTTTGGAACGGCAATTAACAATTTTTTTAAGTTCCGCATGATTCTGCAAAACTTTTAAGGAGCTCGTAAGAGAGATTAAGAAAATCAGAAACATAAGGAGAGAGAGGAGCAGACACGGTCCTTTTTCCTTATTCTTCCATAGAAATTACGCTGTATCATTATTTAATGCCATTAAAATTTCTGGCGACATAACGGTAAAATTCATTTAGTTTCCTTCATGATTTAAGGTAAATTTGAAGTGTTCTAATTGAAACAGATACCTAAGTTTCAATCAAATTAAAAAAACAATTTCTGTTAAATGTATCTCAGAAAGAGATGCTCATAGATTAACAAGTCCAGTGCACGATGAAATCAATTTGATGAGTGATGACAGTGGATAATTTATTGAAAATGTACAGCATTTGCCATAGCGGTGCTCTAGTTTTCAATTTTATTCCGTTAGTCTTTTCATAAAAAAGGTACATCTCGGTTTCAGGTAGGAAGAGAATCGAAGAGCGAAGTAACCTTTAATTTAATGGAACATGCAAATCATTGATTTACGGGGAATTTAATTTTATGTAAGAGCCACCTATACCCACGGAAAAAATATTAAAGATCTGGAAGCTGAAACGCAGGAAAAAATCAGTTCACCTAAGACAAAGAGGTTTAGGTCCGACATCTATCAACAGTGTGTGTATAGAACCTACGACTGCATTTAGGTGGTAGGTGTAGGGTGCAAAGATTCTTACGGTGGGCAACAGCATGCAGTGGTGTATAATAAGTGCAGTGGTGTCCAAGAATAACAATTGGGCTGCAATTTGCAATAAGGAACCAATATTTCTGATCCATTATAGAAGCATCACAGTGCCATTAGTTTCCCCGCGCAAACATGTGCACTTTTATGGATGAACCAGAAATTATAGTTCCCTATTCTGAAGCGTAGTTCACTTGACGTATAGGGATAGGATCATTTGAGACGAAAGATTTTAATCAACGATTGAGCTTTCAAACCGCGTTTTTTACATGGCAGCTCCTGAAAATGCCAACCCATACTTTATTTTTTACAAGTCGAACAAATCAGTAGTATAAGGCTTAACGCTCTCTCTAATTTTTCACTTCCATTCCTTGGTCATTTTAAAAACTTAAGTCATAATTTTTATTTTTTCTCCCTCTAGATACAAACTATGCGCGGTAATTTTAGAATCTCGTAGTTCCGATACGTGATTTTTAAGTTTACCCATCACGTCAAGTTACAAAAGGCGAAGGTTTTTCAAATATCAGACTTAAATAATTAGCTAACCATCTAGAAATACACTCGAATTTTAATCTATCTATAAACTTCTACAACATCCTCATTTGATCCATACCTATAGATCAAAATGGGTCTCTTCTTTGAGCATATTCAATGTCTCCTTTAACATTCCCTCCATTTTGCAGATTTAAGCTTACATCCTACTTTTCAGAATGCATGTTCCTTGACCTAACTTAAGCCATGACCGATTATACTGGTGCTCTTTAATCTTAAGTCTCTCTCAGAAACTCTCGAAATACTTATATTCACTAGCTGTATTCTTTCTTTCTCGCATGGTTGTATCTGGTAGATGTAAAAATGGTCGATCAGTGGAGTTTTACTCGATAAAAGACTGACTTTAGTTGGCTTATACAAAACACTCGGGAACATTGGTGACTAGTGTCAAATGTTTTGACATTTTCGGAAAATTTTCAGGATGAAGGACTATTCCTAGGGTACCATTGTGGTTAGCCTTCGGGCTTGCAATAAATCGCATTGGTTGATTTAATCATTTAATCCAGGGATGGACTGGATCTTCGAGGCATCAGGACATGGTCTCGGTTCACCCTTCTGCCATGCCAAGGAAGAACGCCGTGTGAATATTCGAGAGTTGCCAAATTTCCTTAGATAAAATGTTTATTCTTTCGGAAAGTCATGAATATTTTTTTCCTTTGAATTTTCAAAATCTTTAGGTAAAATTGCGAACTAAATCATCTGAAAAATCGAGAGGAAAATATTCATAAGTTTACCAAGGAATTCGCGTTTCATCAAAGGAAATTTGCCAACGCCTAAAGGTTCATACGGAGTTTTTCCTCAGCACGGCAGTGTAATTCACCCTCCGCGCTCTCAGGACTCTCCCTTTCCCTCAAAAATCCCCTCTGATCGGCGACCCGATCCTCGATCACCCCTGTCCCGTACCCTTCTAAAGAGCTGGTTCATCATTGATCCGAGCAAACTTTAATCTTAAGATGGGTCCTATCCATAAATCTAAACAAAATGATTAGCAGTCAAAATTAAAAATAAAAACTTTCAAGAAGTATATTGTATTCAATATGGGAATCAATTTTTTTCTTTCCTTCTTTTCTTTCTTTTTAAATCTTGTTTTCATTTCTTCAAGCTTTAAAATTTTTTTCCACGGCCTCAACCTGGAATTTCCTGGATATTTAACATAATCTGCACGGTATATCACACGCTAGTTCAACCACAATGGACTCTGGGATCAGTGGCGTGGCGTGCTTTGCGATATATCGATTAATCTGCTATTTAAACCCATGGAAGAGGATCGATAATCAGGATGTTCGCAGCGGTCGTCTTAATAATCGATCTTTACCACAGCCTCAAATGGGGAAATATCGATAGATCGCAAAGGAAGGCCAAGCCACTGATATATCCCTTCAACACTACCAATAACTGATTTTAACAATCAGTGGCGCAAATGACAAAATGGAACGACCAAGAATTGGCTGTGTATTACATAAACCGCCTATTTGGTTATTGTGCCTCAAAACTGCTGCGTAATCCCTTTATCAAATTGGACAACTGAAGAGTTCGTGTGTGCAGAAATTTACCAAAAGCGATGATTGTCAAACCTGTAAAAGTTATGCAGAAATTTGATATAATGACAGCTGTACATAGTTTTTGGAAAAATATAAATGGAGGTGATTTGTTTTCATAATGGTTGCATGCTTTCCAATGATTCAAAATTTTATCAGAATTTTTATAGTGTAAAAGCCTCCATCACCGGAAAATAGAAAATAAACTTCCTGATGAATTACCGACTAAACTTAAACGCTTGAAAGCCGATGCTTTTACGATTTTGCGGTATTTTCTGTAATTTTACCTAAGTACTTTTTTTCTTCTTGAAAATCAAGCCTTAAGCTGTCTAAAAACTAAGCTACCTATCATGGGAGTTTATTATGTATAAAAAACGAATACCTCCAAACGCAGTATATGTACTACTTTTTGTTGTTTCAAACCCTCTTCATCTTTATTTTCAAACCCTTTTTCACATTTCTTTAGGTATATCCATCCTACTTAATGCCATTTAATATATGGGCAGAACATAAAGGGTTTATTTTCTAGCAATTCTTTCATAGTATATCCATTTGCTCAACATTTTTTATTTCTTAATTTATCAGTTATTCATCGGAATTTTTGTTTGGGGGTTTTCATTCTTTTTCAGTTCATTTCTGATTGAATTTTCCGTCTATAATTAATGACAAAAATCACTGTAAAAATCGTAGTTGTAACAAGGATAAAACATGAATATGTTTATAGAATTAAAGAGAAGTCTTTTTTTTTGTCAACTCTACTTAGTTGACACCACATCCATCATGTGGCTTAATGATCATCGTCATTGACTCTGACTTAAATACATTGAACTGATAAATTTGCTAATTATAATACTATTTTACAGGTTACAAGAAGAAAAACAAAGGTGCTTGGGTTTCATTCTGGAACGCAGAGAAGAGATTCAGGTGACTAAATTCTATCCTATGTAATTGCTTACCTTTAAAGATTTTGAGGATGAGAGGTATAGAAAAATCCTTTACATTTCATTACAAAGGCTCATAAAAAGAGGAAATGGTATTAATCACCTTACTTTTGTCTGTTTTTTATCCATAAAAACTAGTGCCTGCTTTTTAATAGTATGCGTCCACATAACTTGACACTATGCGACGTATGATTAACTTATGACCATACTAAACATTTTATACATTTAGCTTCTACCTCTGCTTCTTTTGCTCATTTATCGCACACGATGAACTCTTGTTCCATTGGGTTCATAGAAACCTCATTTTTAACCAGAATTTCAATTAATCCATGCTGAATTTAAAGTTATTTTTGTTTTAATTGCAGGTTTTGGATCCGACATACTGTCAAAACGCAAACATTTTACTGGTCTGTCATAGTTCTTGTTTTTTTTAATACTGTCTGCGTAGCTGTTGAACATTATGGTCAACCAAAGTGGCTCACCGATTTTTTATGTAAGTATTAAAAATGTTTTCCATGATCAGATGTAACTTATTCAGACTAAAGTTGCATTCTAACCATTCTGGTCTGCACGGGAAAAAAATGAAATCGTTGATTTAACAATTTTGTAGTTAAAAAAGTGTCCGCATGTTTCCATGAAGATTTTACAATAAAAAATGCTAATTTAAACACCCCCGTGGTTAAATTAGCTTTCCACTATTGTAAAATGTGCTTTTGAAACATGTCGGACATATTTTTTAACAATTTAATTGTTAATCAGCAATCCGTTTTTCCGTGTAATTCCATAATTTTCCATAATTCCATAAACAAGGTCGAATCTCCGAATTACCAGATACATCGGATTCACTTGCTGGCTCCTGAAAATTGGATAAATCAAAATTCTACATAATTATTCTATAGCGTATCCTCCTTTATTAAAGGAAATTTTAGACAAAGTTACAGCTATCGATTTGATACTGAACAAAAGTGCTGATATCGACTTCATGAGAGCAGCATTCAGCTAAAGAGACCAAATGAAATGAAGCGTAGTTGTGGGCTCTTTGGTAGATCAAGCAAGTTGGCAAACTTGTTTTCTCCCCGTTTAAAACTTTGAAAATGAATCGACTTTTGGAGGGGGCAGGTGCTTTGAAAAGAAGTCGATTATTCTACACAGGTTTAAATGTAGCGAAGCCAAAGCTGCCAACCTGGTGGATCTGCCTCTGTGAGGGTTTATTCAGGGCCGCTCATGCAATATGCGAAACGCCGAAAATTGAATTTTTTTTTAAATCCTTACCTTCCTCACTCGTAATACAGCCCTACATTCCTCTAAAAAAATACATAATGCTCAATTCAACCTCTCTCCCCCCCTCCCTCTCATCTCCCTCAAATTAGAAATCCACGATCATTTCGGATGAAAAAGGTGCCACCTCGCGTTGATTTTCTATCTTAGATTTTCGCAAAATTGAAGTGTTACACGCCCATTCTTGTGTTACCACGATCCTGAACGCCCCCTCTCTCCCCTGAACGTCCCCTCTCTCCCCTGAATGCCCCTTCTCTCCCCTTAACGCACCTGTAACCAGTGGCGTGGCGTGCTTTGCGATATATCGAATGATCTGCCATTTAAACCTATGAAAAAGTATCGATAAACAGGGTGTTCGCAGCGAACATCTTAATAATCGATTATTTACCATACTTTCAAATGGAGGAATATCGATAATCGATCATTCACGCCACGCCACTGCCTGTAACGCTAGCTCGGACTCCCCCCCCTTCCCTCTTCACCGCTGGAGCATTACATGTTTTACGAACGGCTTCTTATAGGCATTTTTTCCCTGCTTCAAATTCAAGACCCATAACAAGTATTTTGCATGGAAAACTTTGCTTTATTACACTTAACTTACGGAGGAACCAAAACTCCGGGGATTTTTTTCCAAATCACTAGGTTTATTTTTCGCTGCGCCCTGCTCATATATGATGTTGTAAACTGCTTTATTTTGAACTCAATGTGTAATCTCAGTGATAGAAACTATGACAAGTGTAAATTTTATGATAAAAATGACTCGGTCCGCTTTTTGTTTCAGATTATGCTGAATTTGTTTTCCTTGGCATTTTCATGTGTGAAATGTTTATTAAAATGTACGCTTTAGGACCTCGTATATATTTTGAATCAGCGTTCAATAGATTTGACTGTGTTGTCATTTTGGGCTCAATATTTGAGGTCATTTGGTCGGCACTCAAAGACGGTTCTTTTGGATTTTCTGTTCTGAGAGCTTTAAGACTTTTAAGGATATTCAAAGTCACAAAGTAAGTACATTTTGATTGGTGATTTGTCTTAAACCTGTTGAATGATTCTCTTGATTAAAAGTTTCCGTCCACACAGTCAGTTTCAGCCATTCAGGTTTTTAGTCAGGTAATTTGACTCAATTTTGCAATGAAAGATAACTCTTTTCTGGCTCATTTTCGAAACAGCGTGTTTATTGTGACATTAGTTTCTCCATGCGAAAATATGCTCTTAACGATGAGTCAGAAATTATGGTTGAGAATCGCAAAATGAAGACTAAATATCATTTTGGCATGCAAAGAGGCGTGAGAAAATTTAAAATTCCCTATTAATTGCTCACCTCTATCAAATTATTCTTAAAATCTGCTGATGATCTGCCCTCATGACCTAAAATGAATTCAAGGAAATGTTTACGTCATTATGTTCCGTATTTATCTGTAAAGAACATAAAATAGAGGTGGAAATAAGGGAACTGTGTGTCAGTCTGACTCTAGTTAAATCTTCTAGTTTTCTCAGTAAAAATTTGAGAAAAATGATTGTCCTACTTGCTCACCTCTTTGTCTACGTTAAAGTAATAATATCCTTCTGATTTTGCTTGCAGGTACTGGTCATCACTGCGTAATCTAGTTATTTCATTGTTAAATTCAATGCGTTCAATTATTTCTCTTCTGTTCCTCCTTTTCTTGTTCATTCTTATTTTTGCCTTACTGGGCATGCAACTGTTTGGTGGTCAATTTAATTTTCCTGAGGGTACACCACCTACCAATTTCAACACCTTTCCTATTGCTCTTCTAACAGTCTTCCAAGTAAGTATCGCTGCATTAATTTGCGACCGTTCAAAGAAAAAGGGGCTTAATCAAACGAATATCAAAATTGAGTCTTAAATGGCATTACTAGGATGCATCTTACAATAATTTGGGGACAAAAAAAAAAACGCCTGACAAAAAGAGAAAAAAAGAGAAAAAAACCAGGGTTGTGGCAGCTTGAAGTTGGTAGTCAAGAATTGTAGTTTTTAAAAAAGGCAATTGCAAAGTCTGGTCTGTCGTGTTTATGGCACTAGATGGCCATTTATCGGCACAAAAATAAACTAGTTCGTCCCCAAGCTTATCTTTTCAAGACTTAAAAGACAATCCTCCACTGAAACAACTGAATTCCTTTTTTGAGCCAACTCAACAAAAATCGCGCCGCTGAAAATGCTCCGTGGGTTTAGGTCTTTCTTCCTATGAACGGTCATATTTGCTGAACCACCTAAAATTTCACATTACACTCCTGCATACCTAACACAAGCATGCATGTATAGGAAAAAAAGTGGAAATAAAGAAACAATTAAAATAAATGTATTGTTCGAAGGCTAGAAGCTGATTTTAATGTCAATTGAAGTGAATTTGCCACTTTCGAACTGAATTCTCCTGCCCGCCAAGAGTTTCCCATGCAAATACGCACTTTCTAGATCTGAATTCAATCAGAACTCAATTGTTAGAAATAGAGATTTGGAGTTTGTAAAAACTGTCTTTTTCGATGCGTGTTAAGTCCGTGGGGCGTATTTCCGAATTTTGCATCGGGAGATGAGCGTTGAAAGTGCTCACTCAAGTGTAGCTACTTTAAAAAAATACATTTCTGCATCAAAGATTGATACTATACACCTATTTAGTAGAGCATCGACTTATAATACATAGCAATTATGTTCTCACAGAGCGCTTCCATAATTTTGTTTATTATGTTTTCAGATTTTAACAGGAGAGGATTGGAATGAGGTTATGTACCAAGGGATAAAGTCTCAGGGAGGCCACAAAGATGGTGGAATGATTTATGCTCTTTATTTCATAGTTCTCGTATTATTTGGTAACTACACTCTGCTCAATGTATTCTTGGCCATTGCCGTCGATAACTTAGCCAACGCTCAGGAACTAACTGCAGCTGAGGAAGAACAAGAAGAAGAGGATAAAGAGGTATACGCGTTCATCTATCTAATCACCCGACTTTTCTGCCGCGGTAAGGAAAATCGCCGTATGAACCTTCAGGCGTTACCAAATTTCCTTTGATAAAGCAAGAATTTTCTGGTAAAAATATGAATATTTTTATTTTAATTTTTTACATAATTATGTTCGCAATTTCACCTAAAATTCCTGAAAGTTTCAAGGAGGAATATTCATAATTTTTTTCAAAAAAATATTCTATCGTAGGAAATTTGGCAACTCTCAAATGTTCATACGGCGTTCTTCCTTAGCACGCCAGCATTACTCCTGCCTCGCTCATTGATATTACGTTTGGATTTTACACTGTACACAATCGGGGACTACGAATGCACCTACGCCGTGGGCTAAATTAAAGATGATGATGGAGTTTTTTAGCCATCGTGCGTAAAAAGTTCAGCTTAAAGCTGATCAATACCGCAATCAGTTTGGGTAAATTAAAGATGGTTTGAGATTGTATCGTAGTTTTATGCGAACAACTAAAGGCAATGACGCGGCGCGTTTAGCGCTGCTGTTAGCGCTAGGACTGTCAGTTCGCCTTCAATTCATCGCGTATGTAACAAACACGGTCACAAGGTTCGAATAGTTGCATGCAGGCGTTGATGAATACTCACGCTTCTCGAATCCTTATTCTCAGAGATTATTAGAGCGCTTCTTTTCCTTCGATAACTGAAATATTTTTGTGTTGTAGATTAATTTCATCGATCTTAATATGATCAAGTCGAGGAAAATTAGATCGAGGGACAGGCCAAATTTTTCACCATCGTGAAAAATAACGATAGAAGTACCAAACGATGATTTCAGCTTTTAATACCAAATCCTTTTTAAGTCAGACTTGCCATTTTCATAATTTGCATAGTTTGTAAATTTCATCAGATTACACCCATATTAATATTCTAAATGCGATTTTGCCCGTTTCAGAAGCAACAGGCGGAACTACAAAAAGAAATTGAAGCCTTACAAGTAGATGACGGGATATCTCCACCTCGCAAGACCAGCCCGTCGGAGCCCTCAAAAGAACTTGCAGAGGCTCAGAGACAGGAGACAGAAGAAGCTGAGGAAGGTGCTGCAAAACCAATGCTACCGTACTCTTCGATGTTTTTTCTCACCTCTACTAACCCGTAAGTTTAGATAAACAAATCAGCTCTCCATACATATTTAATTTTTATCTTTTGTGTCTGAGATTCCAAAGCTATAGATCTCCAGAAAAACTAATTAAAAAACTAAACTAATTAATTTCCTCGTATAAATATATTTCAAATTTTAACAGTCACGAGACGTAATGCTAAAATTATAAGAATGTTGAAAGAAATTTTGCTAATCTGTCTTTTTTATTTTGTATATTTTCAGGGTGCGGAAAGCTGCTCACTGGGTTGTCAATCTGCGATATTTCGATTTTTTTATAATGATTGTGATTTCCCTTAGTAGTATCGCCTTAGCCGCAGAAGATCCAGTCATAGAAGGTTCTTTTCGCAATGTTGTCTTAAATCATTTTGATTACGCGTTCACTGGAGTGTTCACCGTTGAAATGTTACTCAAGGTGGGTACTTTGCCTCTAAAATCATATTTATGATAGAAAATAAAACATGTCTCTATACATAGATGTGAATGATTCCGATCTCGTCGACAAAAATCTTCTAAGACATTACCTCAACAACCCCCAATTTATTTGAATTTCTAATATCAATGGATTAAACATCAACATTCTCGCTCATTCTCCAACTTGTTTGATATTGTAGTGCCTTTAATTTAAAAAATGATCGATTTTTCTGGAAAAAAATTTCTGACTATCATCTTTTTAACGTGTTTACGTAATATTTCTGTTTTCAGATTGTTGATTTAGGTGTTATACTACATCCTGGCTCTTACTTACGAGAATTTTGGAATATTATGGATGCTGTTGTCGTAATATTTGCTGGCGTTTCATTAGGATTTGAATTAAGGTATGTTCTATATAACACCATATCCTTTGTTTTTCATATCATTAAAGCTTCATAAAAGTCAAATATTTGTGAATTTCTGGGGAATATGTCAGAAGCTCTCTGAAAAAACTTCATTTCCCAATTTTCCTCTAGAGATATAACTAAATTTCAACAAGTCATGATGCGTAGAATATAAGCTATCGTCCAAAAATATCAATGAAGTCTTCTCTTGCACAAACGGTAATTTGAGATTCAAATACTAGAAATTGGACGTATTTGTGCGAAATGGAACTATGTGCAAGTGGAAAGATGGGGTCTGCTCGTTAGTGCTCGGGCCCTAAGAGTGAATGGGACTTTAAAAGCGTCAGCGGCAACGAAACCGTCTCCGGTATCGTTCCCGCTCGTCTTTAACTCATGAGCCCTGTCCATAACGCTCTTGTCACATGCCCACCGATCTCGAGTCAGCGATCAGTTCCTTTGATTTGATGTCAAATCCTGCTTTTCCATTTTCTCAAAAGGAACTATATCCACTGACCACATTGTTTCTTATCCAGTTTCCACGAGCACACCCCATCTTTCCACGTCCACATAGTTCCTTCAGCATAAATACGTCTAATTTATCATTGACAATTTTTTTTGCCGAGATAAACCTTAGTTTTTATTTAAGTAGCATACCGATGATAATTTGCGACAAGTATTAAAGAATAAGTAGTGGATCAAGTAATTTTAATCAGACTTTTTAATTTTCTTGTTTTTTGTATGTTCACAGTGATCCGCACAGTTCTGCCGGTCAGAATCTGTCAACTATTAAATCTTTGAGAGTACTGCGAGTATTACGACCGCTAAAAACAATCAAGAGGGTGCCGAAACTGAAAGCCGTATTTGATTGTGTTGTTAATTCACTAAAAAATGTTGTAAATATTTTAATTGTCTATATTTTGTTTCAATTCATCTTTGCTGTGATAGCCGTCCAACTTTTTAACGGAAGATTCTTCTTTTGTAACGATGAAAGCAAAATGAACGCCGAAGACTGTCAGTGAGTATTCCGTTCTTAACTTATTATAATTGAAATAAATTGAACAATTTGTCGATTCTTCTTCATAATATAATATCAATATAACCTCTGCACTCTTGAGCATTTGATGAAACGCTAAAAATACATCGTGATGTTTTACTGCGGAAAATTGATCGGCGCACAAAAAGGCTGAATCCTTCGACGTTTATATTATAATGATATTGTAAGATACATTTTTGAAAATCCATCTACCTCCTATTACCAACAGGGCCGGATTTAGGGGGTGACCACATGGGCCGCGGCCAATGGCGGTAAATTTACGGGGCGGCAAATTTTGCAACTTTTTTAAATGTAGGTATAAAAAAAATCGGATTTAGAAAAAAAATTACAAACGAGAAAAAGTGACAAAATCTCTCATTTCCTGAGGGAATAGTAATTAATAATTTTGTCGTCTTTCGGTGATAAAAGATACAGCACCTTTAATTAATCGAGTTAAAAGAGTAACAAAACACGCAATTTAGACTGGAACGGCGCGACGCGGCGTAGAGTGCAATGATGGCGAGGGTTTGAGATCAAAACTAGTAGCCCTCGGCGCGGCGGTCGGCATGTAACACACATTAGCGCCTACAAGACTGCATGAATACTTCACTCATTGCGTCAAAAACACAGTGCGGTCAGCAGCGGTCGACGCGGAACGCATGGCGCCTACAAGACTGTAGGAATACCTCACGCATTGCGCCAAACAAAGTGCGGTCCTTAGCAGCGCGACACGGCGCGCGGCGCGGCGGCGGAAGTTAAGATTATTAAACCACATTTATGTTTGTTCTTTCATAATTTTTTTGTTCATTTCTTATAAATGGAGAGCCTTGTCTGCACAGAGATAGGTTTACGGAACTTAACTTTCGCGCAAAGTTCCATGAACTTTTGCCAGTAGTTTTGACAGGGCTTTCGCAAAAAAGTGTCCAACACGAGTAGACGCGTCTTATGCACCCCCCCCCCCCCCCCCCGTTCACTGGGTAGTTTTTATTGATGTTTCAAAACAAATGAGAAGAAGGCGGCAAAATACAGGCGGCCCATGGGCGGAAAGTAGGTAAATCCGGCCCTGATTACGAAATAACGCAAATAAATGGATGCGTTTTTCGATCTCTTGCTGAGACCTGATAATTACTAAACATGCCAAAAATTGACTGTTCCAAGACCAGATTGTATCTAATCGAATCGAAGGGTAGGATATAAAATGCTACTGTTAGAATTAATACTGACTCCGTTCTTTTTTCTTCAGGGGCTTCTATTACGTTTATGAGGCTGATGACAGTGAAGACGTAAATTCTGCCAAATTTCTACCAAGAGTTGAGCAACGCTTGTGGAGGCCGAGATGTTTTCATTACGACAATGTAGCAGTGGCTATGCTCACGCTTTTCGCTGTACAAACTGGGGAGGGATGGCCACAGTGAGTATTTATCACTGCATGACTTTTTTTTTGATTTTTCTTCACTCTCTTCCATATCCAACTTTCAAGTATGAAGTTTATATCTTCTTCTCCTTTTACGAACGACTAGGGCATAGCCCTGTTTGTCAGACCATCCAGAACCGAGCACAATAAATGATAAAATATTAAAAATCTAAAAATCATTAAGAATAAAAGACTCGTCAAAGTCCGCAGAGTCTGCAAAGTCAAAAAGCAGAGTTTCTGTGGTGAGCGATTCCGATAATAAGAGAGGAATTCACAACTCAAGGGTGAAAATTATTTTAGCATCATGTTATATATTTGGACGGAGAGGGCGTCCAGCCAAACGGTGGGTAGAGGACATCCGTGAAGAGATGGAGAAATGCCAGCTTCCGGAGGATCTCTACCATGACAGATTCCTGTAGCGGGTGGGCGTTGCACCAGTGGCGTGGCGTGAATTGCGATGTATCGATTGTTATGCCATTTAAACCTATGGAAAAGGATCGATAAACAGGGTGTTCGCAGCGAACACCTTAATAATCGATTCTTTACCATAGGTTTAAATGGCATAACAATCGATACATTGCAATTCACGCCACGCCACTATGCGTCGCACAGCGCCCTGACGCTTAGTAAAAGCGACTTTTACGTACATATTTGGCAGCTTGAGAATTGGGCTCAGAGAATACCAAGTGCAACGAAGATTGATTTGATTATACAACCTCTCCACCCGCGGGTTGAGTATTTAAATTGATAGACAAAGAAATAGACAAAGATGATGATGGGAAAAGGAGCTATCTTATCGGAAGAAACGGATGATCGTTAAAGACTAAGAGGGTTACCATAAGTTAGCCTATTGCTTACCTCAATAATTGCAACTATCCGCTACCATCAATAGGATTGCTCCTTGTTTCCTTCATTCTCTTTGCCTATTGCTTTGTCTATCAATTTCAATTATCAGTCTGCAGCACAAAAATAGGCTAAACCGGTCGCAACTAATTCTTTGGAAAACTATGGAGAAATTTCCGTATAATTCTCAAAATCCAATTTTTTTCCATCCAATTTGATGAAAACTCTTTTACTGAAAATTTTGCCCGGTTAGACCAGGGTGATTACCTCCATAGACGGTCACAGATAAAGAGAAAGAATGAAGAAATCAAAACTAAAAACAATGAGAAACTGCGCTTTCATAGATTCAAAAGCATCTAATTTGTGTACGAAAATGAGGAATGCAGGTTATCCCTTTGCTGGTGCAATCATAGCTTTCTCAAATTTCCTCCTAAGGGCATTCAATGTTTTTTTTTTTAATTTTTCAGAGTATTGCAAAACTCAATGGCAGCAACTTATGAAGACGAGGGTCCAATACAGAATTTCCGGATAGAAATGTCTATTTTCTACATTATTTATTTCATCGTCTTTCCATTCTTCTTCGTGAACATCTTCGTCGCTTTGATTATTATCACATTTCAAGAGCAAGGAGAAGCTGAGTTGCAGGATGGAGAAATTGATAAGAACCAGGTACAGATTCATGCACTTTTTGGGCCCGTCAATTATATGTCTCGATTTTCTCCCAATCGGAAACCAACTTTTAGGCGGCCACAAAGAGAATTTCGATTGCATCGCGATGCTTTTTATTATAATAGAATTGGACCACCAGAAGGTACGAATTAAAGCATTCCAATATTTGTTCCTTGCTAAAAATTTCACTTAAAACGCGATTTAGGCATTGAAATTTGCTGAACTGAACCCCGCGTCCATGAGAGTAAAACGCTACGCGAATTAAATCGCGCACTAAAAGTTGCCTTAATAAAAGTCTTCTTGGCATGACGATATAACAATCTCAATCTTGGCTCAGCTGTTTCACGTTGTATACACTTTAAACAACACAGTTCAGGGAAGGAACACTGCTCGATTCCGAAGGCCACCACAACCATCCTAATGAGCGATTTGATTCACGTAGAATGTTGTTTCTTCTAAGAGCGGGAAATTCGAATTTCCCGTAACCACTACCAACCCAGCGATTGAGCACAGGGGAGAAATCCATGAGCGCCGCCGCCCGCAGCGCACTACGGTCCAAAAAAACTCAGGAATAGGAAGAAATAAGTCGGATGCAGACTAAAAGATCCCAAAAGTTTCGTAACTGATGTTTTTTTGAGTCTCTAATTTCGAATTTGATGTCAAATTGTGATGTCAAATCGAAGTGTGGGCAAGTTAATGGCACGCTGCGGAGCGGCGTGCTGCCGCTGCCCGTTCGAATTGCACACTGACGCCTACAAACCTAAGGGGATACTTCATGCATTGCGCAATGCGTGAAGTAGCCCTTTAGGTTTGAAGGCGTCAGTGCGCGTTTAACGCTAGCAGCGCGCCGCGGCGCCCCCGACGCGGCCGGGTGGGGGACGATTTCTTGCGGGGAAAGCTCCCTGGCGCAGATACTCGTAAATCGTGTAATTTATTTTTATTATTATTATTATTATTTTTTAATTTTCAAATTTTAAAATTACGCACTGGTCGTATGAAGTAATAAGTGAACTCTCAACTCTAGATGAACCAAGGCAAGTCGTGCGCCATGCGCGCTGCGGACGGCTCATGAAATTCTCCCCTGTGCTTTGTCGACCGACTCAGAACGTTAATATTTCCTGAAGCAGTTAGGTAATGTTAACAATTTTCGTACCCGAATTAAGTCTTACGTGATATTTTGATTAGAAAAAACGTATCAGAGTGCTTTGACTAATACATTTGTCTAATGTGTCATTGCTTTCTTACGTGTATGGTGGCGTTCGAGGCTCGGTGTTTGACAAAACTATTTTTACCAAAAAGGAGCCTTCAAAACTAGTTGCACAGGAAAAGTGGCTTCTTCCTTGCCACCGACACATTCAAAATCTGGGAGGATGCTATTGATAATAATTGCTTGCGCATGTCACTAAAATGCTGCGCAAAGTCATCTATTTTTTTCGCTTCATATAAGAGTAAAAATCAATGTTTCTTTATTCTAATGATACTGAATTAAATAAATAAATAATTTAATTTGATATGTATATGTCTTGTTGTTTTGAATCAGTTTTGCCTCACGTCTATTCTATGGTCATTTTCAGAAATCTTGCATTGATTTTACAATCCAAGCTAAGCCACTCGAACGATATATGCCAAAAGACCGGAATAGTTTCAAATATAAAATCTGGAGGGTAGTAGTATCTACTCCGTTTGAATACTTCATCATGATGCTAATCGTCTTCAACACGCTGCTGCTGATGATGAAGGTAATTATTGGCTTCTATTATCCGTGCAACATCTGTCACCTTATCCCCCTAAAAATGAACTTTTGCTTAGCTCAGGCAAGGAATAGTAAACTTCAATAGTGTTTGAATCCGTATGAATTAAAAACTGAGAGACGTGTCATTTTTTGGGTTCGGGTATTTATGATACATCAAATTCTCTCGTAATTAATCAAGTTGGTCATACCTCCACTTGAAAATTGTATATATAATGATTCTACGAGAAGAACAAAAGTTGGGAATTCTGTTATGGTTGTCCCTGCAGTTGGCGATGCTGGGCTCCGATAAGACATACATTTTGCTCCCCCCGCGTTTTGTTTCCCCTCAAAGTGTTGAATTTTTATTTGTCCAAGATTTGCTAAGGCGCAATGTGTTAAAATACGCGTAGAGGTTTTAGCATCGTTATGATGGTGAGCCAAGCTAAAAGCAATTTAATTTAGAGAGGAAGTACCAGATTGGAATGTAATGCAGACGGCGCATAGTGCAAGGAGCAAGAGTGCGCCAGTGGCGTGTTTTTACGATATATCGATTGATCTACCATTTAAACCTATAGAAAAGGATCGATATACAGGGTGTTACATTACAACAAACACCTTAGTAATCGATTCTTTACCACGGCTTCAAATGGGGGAACATCGATAATCGATCATTCACGCCTCGTCCTTGGAGTGCGCGCGCGCATGTTGGACGAGTGTACACTAGTGTACACTCTGAAAGCAGATGCTTGCCTCTCTCACAGATTCGAGAAGCCAGTTGTTTACCTCTTAAATTGAGGCACTATTCGTTGAATGTTCTTACGTGTATTGAACTTTTTCCAACTAGCCCCAATATATATGTAAATCTTTGTAACAATTTTTCCAACATGACATCTTAAGCGGCCGAAAAATAAAAGAAGTGACAATTTGGTGTGGTTTTCCTTTTCTATGTTGATGAACGTATGAGATGTGTGATTTTACAATGTTTATTGGCGACCCTCACGTTGGAAACACTGTAACTGGTGTCTAGTTAGAATGGTTGCTATCCGTTTTCCTCAATATAAACCTTCTTTCGTTTTCGTCAACTCGACTGCTATCCATTTTTCATTCTGTCTCTACACTTCTCCCAAAAAACTTCATTTCCTATTTGGGAATGAGTTCCTACTCTATTTCTAACAAACTCATTCATGCAATTGACGACTCTGTCTCCAAAGTATTAAGCATGAGTTAATTTATTACATTTTTTAGCTGTAATTCTTTTTGTGAAAGCGAAAAATTAAAGAGACAATTTTGATAAAAATTAATTTTGATTCACTCCATATTTTGAAAACTGTCACTAGGCCCATAGGAAGTAACTACGCCGTTTCGAAGTACACAAATATTTATGGATGAATGAGAAAATATGAAAACTAAAATTTTTATTAAAAATATCGCATGTTACAATCATTTGAATCACGGGCTCGCGCCGTTATTTATGATGAGTCCCTCCCATAAAATTTGAATTCAATAGATTCTGAATTTAGAGTAATTAAATTAAGCAACTAGACAGAAACCTATATTTTATTACTACATGCAAGTCTGAAATCTAAACGCAGATCGTGGAAAATGTTTCCTTTTTAGTATTCGTGGTTCATTATCTCTTACCATCTTACTATCCCTGGTTTCCTTTTTTCATTTTCTCTCATTTCCATCTTAAATACGTTCTTGTGTTACCCTCATTTTTAACACACCATTTCATTTTCATTTATTATTGACACTTTTATGCACTGTTTTTGACATGCTGTATAGTAGTTTGGTAAATAATTGTTGTCTGCAAGTGTTGTGGTCATCAGTCGATCTCATCTTCTCTTTGCGAAAGTCTATGTAAAATGAGAATCATGTAAAACATTCCAGCATATCTAGAGTAGGATAAATGTGGATTATTTGAATTTTTGTTCTCATAGAGAATCTGCCTTCAAAAACTTACCTACTTCGATCCTGTTTAGGCAGAGAGATGTTTAAAAGTATTCACAATCTCTGGATTTTAATGCTAAAGATCCGCATATACCCATTCATCTTCCAAGTTGGACTTATCCAAAACTTGGGTACGTGATCTATTCTTTAGATTTTGTTTCAGAGAATCAATAGATGACTTCCGACAGAATAAAGAGCTCAGTTCCCGTGTGTTTTTTTTTTTTTTTTTTTTTTTTTTTTTTTTTTTTTTTTTTTTAAAAAAGACTGAATTGAAGTGGCACTTACTGTGTGAAGGGAATGTTTTCGTTCCTCTTTAAAAAAAAAACCGTCATTAAATGAGTTATATTTATCCTCACCAGAGCTCAGATTTTTCCACTGTCTTAATGTCATCGAAAGAAGCAAATTGAATTTCTACCCTCTATTTTTCTTCTTTTCACTGAATTTCACTTGATGTCTTCGCTGCTAATATTTTAGCCCTTCTCACTCTGTCTTCTTCTTCACTTACCATTTATATCGTCTTTAAGTATCTACCTAAACCCAGCAAAGAACAACTGTTACCCGGAAAGTGATGAAGTTCGGGAAATTTGAGGTCAAACCGACCTTAACTATACCTACATTTCTGAGGGTCTCGTCCCCGAAAGTGCACCCGTGTACTGAGTTATTCCGATAATATTATGTTGCTCATTTGTATTTGCAATAGTTTTTATTTCACATTAAATTATTTTACCCTCTCCGTCCATAAATAATACCCATATCGATTTTGCAAATAATAGTAAAATTTTAAAATTAGATTCCTTAGGGTTAGTTCTCGCGAACAAAGTGCACACGTTAGATTTTAAATAAATTCGAAAAATTAGAAAAATCACTCCGATAATCAACGGCCTTGCATTACGAATTAATGTTGTTGCAGCTTTTCCTTTCTTGCGTCAAATCTCTGGGTTTTGTGTGCGTGGCTCCTTATATCCGTGTATTTACACACCCAAAATAATTTGCTAACGTAGCATCTCGGATGTCAACAATGCGTCTGGTCATACTGAAATGTCAACCCGCACAATTAATGTCACAATCGAGGATATAAACTTTGCAGGGACTAAAGCTTCAATATGTTCCATGGAATCTCGATGAGGCCTTAGCCTGCTCTTAAGTAACGTGTTGCCCAATTATTGCCCCCATCCCCCCATTTGACTCATGCTGGAATCATTCTTCAAACCGCTCATCACTTTTATCAATCACCTTTTCACCAATTTCAAACAAAATTAAGCATGTAGAACTATTCTTGCTATTTCTATCAACCTAAATTTCAATTGGATTGTTGTTTAGAACAGTTTGTCTGCACATTGTACCGCTTCTGTGTGCTTCAAACATGACTCACGAGATCTTGCTCCTACCTTTTTGGTTGCTTGTGTTTGAAAAATGAAGATCCTTCATTCAAGCACGTTCAATAACATCTTTACCTGCTCTGAACACACACGTTACTTAGCTTTGCTTCACACCGAGTGATTTTTCAACATTGAGATCCCTTGCATTTGCTGTTAGGTACGAGAAATGGACAGGAGAAATTAGCAAAAATACATCATTTTAGCTCTTTGGTGAAGTATTTTTAGTAGCATCAGAGAAATCATCTGATTGATTTTTCTAATTGTTTATAATCTTTACCTAAGGGCATTGTGACTATCTTTGTCACTGATATTTAAATCCATAGAGAAAAACCCGATTCCTCAGATTTCACACAGTATAGTTTCTGTTGAGAGAATTAATTTTCTTCTTTTCACAGTCCATTGGACCGGGATTTGCGAAATCACAGAGCTTTTAAAATGTTTGTAATTTGTTTTTTCTGACTGGATGTGTGAAATAGATCTTATCTCTTGGGAGAAAATTTTCCCTAACATGTTTTACAAACACTTAAACCACATTCTTTCCCAACTTAAGAATTTTTGACTTGAAACTTAAGGACTGACTTTTCCCTCAAGTTTTGAGATGAAATGCACAAATATGTCCTGGTTTTTGTCCTCCATACGTTTGCAAAAATTTGAGGAAAATTTCTCCCGTAATTTAAGGCCCTTTTTCGCGGATCTGGTCACGTTTGTGTTTTGTTATGAAAAAGTGATGGTTAGTTAATAAAAAATCATTTTACCAGCTATGAAATAATCCGCGGTTATCATATTTCTTGTTGAACCTTTTTTGACCATCACTCTGTGGTTTGTGCAGCTGAACTCCCTGATCGGCTAATTTTGCCGACTTTAAGGTTATAGTCACACTATCTCCGGGCGACCGTAGCCAAAAGATTAGGCCCCATATTAGTAGCTCCATCGGTGACAAAAATAATCACTTCATACCACAATTAAATGGGGAACTGAACTCGGGTGCTTAGATATTTTTGTGTACAAATGGATAGAATTATGTTTAAACGGGACATATCCAAATTAAAATTTACGTGGAATCTAAAACATCTAAATGGCTTTGAAACTCAGAGGAGCCTTAAATTGTTTTTGCGTCTGTTAATTTCGTATGTGTCCCTATCTGATACATACAAACAGTCATAAACCATTGCACATAGGTTCTTTTTCCAAAACTTATAATGCTAATATGTCCCGTTTGCTCAATTTCATTCGAATGAAACTGCTGTGTCATATGTCAGTGTTTGGTATTTGATTTGTGTCGTCAAGTTTCATGCTGAATTTGTCTCTCTGTTCTGTCTTTCATACTACTTAGTTTAATCGTAAATGTGTTTTCTGATTGTATGCGTCTAATGTCTCTCATGTCTCGTCTTCTTCATGATAATTTTTAATTTTTTAGTTTCACAAACAAAGCCCTCTATACAAGAAAGGGCTGCACTACACAAATATCGGGTTCACAGGAATGTTCACCGTTGAGTGTATTCTGAAGATTCTTGCTTACGGTGTCAGGGTAAGAGTTGACTTTTGAGCATATAATTGATTATGTTTATAAAATCACTCAATTCATATCTTATAATTTACTCATTTTTCAACTGGCTCGGATTCTTAAGTCAATATTACCTCTAAACACAGATGATGCCCGAAAGGTGAATCCGCATAAAGCACCAAAATTACGTTCATTCCTGAAAAGTTTCGAAAAGCGTCTAGCTTTATATTCTGTCTGTATTCATGATTCCACAGAGAGGAACTAACCAACCAAAGTATTTCAAATAGTGCAATTTTTTGGTGATCGAATCATAAAGTCCTTCAAATGACTATACAAAACAATTCTTATGTACAGCAACCTGGCATCGGAGTCAAGGGGCAGTTTGTTAGATGAGTGGAATGTTTAGTGGACCTCTTAGCATTTGGGCTCATAAACACGATATATTCTGAAAAATCTGCTGCCGCACTATAATCCTAAGCTGATGTTGAGGAAGCAAGAAACCTACCGATTAGAAACTTTACACGCCAAAATGTCTCATTTTTGCAAAACCAATTAAGATTCAACGGCAATTGCTTTCTCTTGCACCAATCCACAGTGTTTTTTATCAGATAATTAATGCTACGAGTAAAAGTTATCTATCATAAAATGATGATCAACTATTCAGATCATCAAAAAAGAAAATCTAAAAAAAAAGAACATACGTATCTGATGGCAACTGGTATGAATAAATTATTAACCACATTGAAAATAATTACCAATTTAAATGTATAGATAAATTGTTTAAGTAAATATTTATTTTCTTTTTTCTATTTTTTTAGTTTTATGTTTTTTGGTTTTTGGTCTTCAAATTTTGAATCATTCTATAAAGGAGGAGCATTGGTTCAACTTCGAGTAAATTAAAATATGAATAAATACACACCTACGCGCATACATAATCGAAGTATAATATTCGCGATAGTCTACCAGGATTGATTGACTTTGGCTCAATATAAATATAATTTCATTTCGTTTGTATGATTTTGAATAATTGATTTTTGACTATCCTCACCTACCTAGAAAGATAAGGGAGGAATAGTCACAAACAGCACAATGCGTGTTACAGTTATCAAATAATAGCAAAATCTACAGAAATCCAATTTCGTGATACTTCGATCATTTGTTAATGTGAAGACAAATAGATGTAGCGATAAAGTATCTTTCCTGGGTGTAAATTTATGACTTTTCTAGGATAATTACACTTTTTATTATTCAAATATTCTTTTAATCCTACCTCCGTTTAAAAAATACACAGCCATCGTGATGAATAACGCCGTGTTTCACTATCTGAAGACAGATCTCAACAATTTCATTGAATTTTCAGTTCTTTCTTCTTTTATTCTTTTCAAGTTTATTTTGGTACAAACTGGCAACTACATCAACTCTCACGGTAAGTGCATAATTTTTGCATCTCTTTAACAACATTTTGATGTGCATCTAGTCCCTGCTTGATCATCCGTAATACGTGTCTTGCGTTTGCCTTAAACTGTAAAACTTGAAGTGCACCTTATCATTTCTTCTGTTCTTTGATCTCTATTCCTTTTCATTTCCTTTCCTCTCACTTTATTCTTGTTCTTCTTCTTCTTCCTGTGATTCTAAATTTTTGGGAAATCATTTACACCACCAGCCGCAAAACTCTGAGGACTTTTGAATTTATATGGACGTCTTGGAAACCAAGTGACGTGAGTGCATTGCAATGCGTTGGTAAGAGTCCTAAATGGACCGCGTTAAACAGGAACCAAGCCACATCAGCTATTGCCAAATTTAGCAGGGAAATTTGATTTTTTACGATAGAACGTTTGTGCGGATTCCTCTGAAAATTTGAAGGAATTTGCTTAATGAAGAAAATTCATTGACATTTGCACAAAAATCCGCACAACCGTTTTCAAGTAAAAAATTAAATTGCCCGATTAAATTTGGCAATAGCTGGTTTCTTTCTGTTTAACGCTGTCCAAATCACGAGTTATGTATATCAGAAGATGTACTTACGATTTGCTTATGACCGATTCACTTTTCTCACCCATTATTAATAACACATATATCGTAAATAGTTTTGCAGAGGAGGAAGGCTAAACTTCGAAGAGAAATATAAGATTGTGAATATTGTTCATGCTTCTCTTTTGACACTAAAAATATTTTGAGTAGTCTTAGCAACGTCCCAATGCATTAACTACAACCTGGTATCCAAGCCATTCAGAATAGGAATGAAATAAATTTTAATTTTTTTAAGATTCGTCGCAACACGGCGCCTGGATTCAAAAACTACAAATCTCAATGATCAGAATCTTCCTAAACCACCCATGAAAAGCTATTAAAATTGACATTTTAGCTGACAAATTTTAGAGTATAACTATAGAGTTTAACAGAAAATCCGAGTAATGTCATACTATGATTCGGATTTGTTTTCTCTTTTTAGACTATAGTGCTCGAAAAGTCCCCTCCTCTCCTCCTCACAAGTATCACTATCTAGAATTTCTAATCCAAGAATATTTTGAAGTAATTTTATGATGTGCTCGAGGTAGCATTCTAAGTGACAGTGGGTTCAGAAAATAGTTCGATAGAGGGTCATTAGGAGCCGGTCCTCTCTTTGGACCGAAAGGAGGCTCAGGACCCCTGCATTGTTTAGAGAAAGCAACACGAACAGCTGGAAAGCGTTTAGGTTTGCGTTTACGTATTGCCAATGGAGGCATTTACGCCAAGAAAGTCTATGTGCGTTGGTATTTCACTGCGTATAGCTTTCTTTTGCATAACGTTTAATTGCGAAGTACCCTTCCTCTACACAGTGGTTTATGATAAGGTAAATTTACTGCTAATGAAAATATTTCCCGAATAATAATGAAGCTATCGGCAACATAACTTAACTGGACTGGGTGTAAAAATGAAATTTAACCAAAATTCGGGCGAAGGAAAATTACTTCCGGTGCTCATGGAGAGTCATATAAAAATTTGTTTAAGAAAAGAAAAAAAAAAAATCCTCTGCAGATTGGTCCGTTTTGCCTGATGATGGAAACTTAGGTAGTGAGCATTTAGGCATTTCTATACTTTCATTTTGGTTCCATCTGAAAATGAAAATGCACTAATGTGCTGTGGATTTGGGAGTGGGAGTGAGCAAACAATACATAATACTGGAATTCACAGTAATTTTTGGTCAAAAGAATGTCGTCGAATGAAATTCCTCTCAGACTAGCCTTGAAACATACCTCAAATTATGATTTCCTTTAAGTAATGACCCTCAACTTGGTTCGTGTATTCAGCAATTTTGAAAACAGAATATGATCTCATCCGTTTCTATACCGTTTCTATACCGTTTACTATATCGTTCTTGAGAAAAACAAGTGAACGCAATGTCGATGCTCAGTAATTGTGTATCACATTCGTAGATACATGATCTTCCAAGTTATCAATTTATGCACATGTCTGACTTAAATACCTACGCACATTATACACGAAACTGTTTCTGCGTAAGCACAATTTAATACTAATGCAGTTTTTCACGAGTGTAATCACACTTAGATTAGGTATTAAGCACCATCTGCGCAGTTTCGTCTTCCGAAATTTTAGTTTGCTTCAATCACCAGAAACCATTTAATGTTCCCTAAGGTATTCTATCAATATCTCTTTCCGAAATGCAGTTGTCCGATTTTCGTTTCTTGTGTTGGACCTCACTTGTTTTACCTTTTCCCTTTTGTTCTTTTGGGACAGATTATCTTGCAGTTTTGTAAATAATACGTGTGTTAATTTTTATATATTTTCATTTATTTTAGGGGGACATATACTCTTTTGTTTCACATCCCTTTGTCTCTGTTTTCTTAAAATATTTTCATGCAATACAGGAAAAGAGTGATTCCTAAAATATTGAATTATGGGTTTTTTTATACCTACAGAGTGTCGACTATTCAAAATCAAAATTTAGCTCAACTACTATCCTTTAAGTGTTTTTATTCGTTCCCCACCCTTTTTTGTCTGAGGAAGTGTTTTTGCGGGACAGCTAATACGATGCTAGGAGAATGTTAGTTAGACAGAAGTAAACAACATGGGGGCATAGTTAACTTGTCAAGGCGCAACAATGTATCGATGGCATTTTTGTCAATGTGCTCGTTTAGATGTTAATATTTTGCCATGCTAAGAAATATTTTTGTTCCCCTTTGGTATTGTGTAGAGGCTCTCTTGAAGAAAATTGTATGAGAAAGGTGACGACTCTCAGCAATACCGTTTAAATTTAAACTTTCAAAAGAGAATTTTTTTTCGCTGTTCAATTTAAATTATCCCCTGGATTTGAATCCTGACATCAGATCCAAAAAACTATCTAATTTTCATTACAATACGATTAAAAATACTTAAAAAATGAATCAATATTTCACGGGCATGATTTTTCGGTTGATTAATGTATCTTTATTAATTGTTATAAAAATGAATCATTCTTGAACTTTTTATCCATTTAATCCACAAGTGGGATTTAAAAGTAAAATGAATTTACATAGAATCAGTAACTCCTGGTAATACTTTTCAGTTACGGAGATGTAACATGATGTGATCTCCAAACTATTTTTTTCCAAGTAGGCATTGCAACCCTGTAGTATTTTTGCTCATAATCTGTGCTTTTAGATAACTCCATCGCGCTAAAAAGCAATCGTGACAAGCAAGCAAAAGTAGTGTGTTGTAAACTGACTTTGAATAATTTCGCTTAAAAATACCCATTTTATTATTCTTGCGACGAGCAATTCAGAAAATTAAAAATTTGATTTGACTAGTTAAAAAAAAATTTAAAAAAAATTCATTTAGAATCTCCAGATACTACAAGGCTGATTTATATTATTACTGTTTGCACTTAAGGGGCGAACAGTGCTTTAATTCCCTTATTATTATCACTGTGAGCAATATTGCAGAAAATATCAGAGTCAATCTCAAAAGTTTGCATTGGAGATAAATGTTTACATTTTGGGTGTAAGAGCAGAGAACAGTGAAAAGCTACTTTAAGTTCGTCAGCGTTAAGTACTTAATGGCTGATTTTAACAGTGTTTCCATTATACGCTGGGAATTCAATGCCCTCAAGAAACGTTTGGAATAATGATTACTTGCATAAGATTTATTGATTTTCGACTCACCGAGACGCGCATTTAACATTAAATCTAGCATCAAAATCGTATGAGATTTAGACATGATTTATTTTGAGGTAAGAATGTAGACAACCCATAAAAATCCTCGATCAGACGACTATTTCTCCGTTAAAGATGTTTTCTGACAGATCTCGAAAATCGAAGGCAAAAAAACAATGCGCAGAAACGCCATACCCTATGTGTCTCAATTCTACTTCCTTTAAATTTACAGTCAAAAGACGCCTCTGTTGATTTCAAACGTGTGTAGTTCGAATATTTATTTTGTGATAAGCCAGTACTTCCTGAAACTGATGAAAAAATCACACAAAACGCTAATTATTGATGCCTGCACGTTACTATTTTGTGTTCCTTAATATGTCCACGTATCTGTAGGTATTGTTTTGTGTATTTCTACAGTTCCATGATACTCCACTCCTGCTGACAAATTTGTTTGCAATCATGAACCTTGTCTTCACTTCGTTATTCCTCCTGGAATGTGTTCTCAAACTTATCGCGTTCGGATGCAAGGTGATTATGTATTAATGTTTATTTAATCATACATACTCCGGCACTGTAAGTACAATCTGCGTTTGTATTTGATTTTTTCATCGTTTTAATTTTTTTTTTATTGCGATAGATAGAGCTGGAAGATGGACATTCGTTACAAACGTATAGTAAGTATGGGTAGACCAACATCCTTGTCTCAAAGTTTGACTGACTTGTATCAACAATTCAACCCTCTTTGTTATGATAGTTCTTACGTATTTTTTAGTTTTTCATTTTTACCATTCACGATAATTTTTTTTTTTCAATAAAGTAACTAAATTTTACTTTATGCATGATAGGCATATTTTTCATGCATTCAGGAGTTTAGATAACTGATAACGAAGTTTTGTTTCCTGATTTATTAGGTCCATTATTTTAAACTTTGTCGGTTTCATTTTTCTTCTTTATTACTTTAAAGCTCATTTTGAGGCACACAGATAAGGAAAACCATTCAACCTGGTTTTATTACACATTCAAACTAAAACGAAATTCTTAGATATTTTCTTTGATTTATCATCATTTGACTCATTGCAATAAAATGAATTTCTCATTGATTGCAGCGGGTTCTAAATAACTGACATATTTTATTTAAGCCACCTAGCTATCAGATACTTATGTTTGTAACCACTTTTTGACCAATGTATCCATCAAGCCCGGGAAAGGGCAAATCAATACAAATTATGCCCCAATCGAATTGATTGTGCATGTAACTACTCGTTTGATCCTTATGAGAGAAATTTCATGATTCATTTCGTGTCAATAGACTAATTCTACAAAAAACTTCAGTAATTCAAACACTAAGTGCAAAGAAATAGCTCTACCAAAATTAGTGCAGCCGTTGTTCCTCAGTTTCAATGCCTTCATGAGCCCACAATGCTGAATTAAGTATATTCTCGGTTAATTTTGTACAATTTAACAAGAAAATAATAATTAAGGATAGGCTGCAAGATTAATTTATGAAGCGTATTTGCTGGTTTTTTCTAGTCTAGATCTGACGTGCATTATTTTTTATGAGTGCTAATGATTCCTCTCTATTGAAAGCACTAAAAAATAAGTCATTCAAATGATCACCGAAAATCCTGATATCGACTATATTTTCCTCAAAAATTATTTGAAATAAAATCAAATTCATTCCAGTTTATAGAAAAAATATAAGTGCGAATAATATTATACTTTTGATTTCCTTCACAGAATTTTTTCAAGGATCCTTGGAATACTTTCGACTTCATCACAGTGATCGGAAGTGTGGTCGATGCCCTTGTAATAGAATTAAGTGTGGTGAGTTTGATTAGAATCAAATTTTAACATTTATAATACCGTTTGATTTAATAGCCCCAAGCAAAAAACCAAATCACAAGCATTCGTATTTTAAATCAATCTGGTTAGGAGCCAGTTTCTTTGGCATTTTCGTTGCATCCCATGTGAAATCGATGAAGTCGCATCAATGGCTGATTCAAATTTTTGGTTTACTCATTAACAAGGAATCATTTTTGGTTCACTATTTCTTATTCATCATTTTTTTAAGTTTTATTTTTCACTTATTTATCCATTTTTGATGCAGTGTTGTAAAGAGGGAGAGATTTTTACTTTATCACTATTAGATTTTTCGCAATCATACATCACAATGGGCCTTTTGCAAACTTCAGCCAGAGCAAAAAATAGGAGTTAGTTCTTATAGGGAATGGCACAAAAATCATAATGAGAGCATCGCAAAAGTTTTGAATACACTCCCAACTTCACTATCTGCGTCAGAATTGTGCGTTTCTTTAAGCTCGGCCTGCTTCAAAAACTACACTACGGCACAGGTGAACATTTTGTAAAAGGATTCGTTCCACCCAACCCTTGCGCACTAGGATGCTACGCAATATTCAACATGGCCACACGCCAAAACACACGTGATTTATTGGTGCATTTTCCATGTTAAATTTTAAGATCGTGCATCATCCTATAGTGCGGAAGGGATGGATGGAACAAGTCCCAGGGCCGGATTAAGGGGGTGGCCGGGTGGCCCATGGCGGCAAATCTAGGGGGTGGCAATTTTTTAAATGTAAGTATAAAAAAAATCGGATTTAGAAAGTAAAATTACAAACGAGAAAAGGCTACAAAATCTCTCTTTCCTGAGAGTATAGTAATTTCTAATTTTGTCGTCTTTCAGTGATACAAGAGACAGCACCTTTACTTAGTCGAGTTAAGAGAGAAACCAAACACACAATTTGGCCTGGAACGGCGCGACTTAGGGAGAAATGATGTCGAGGACTTGAGATGAAAAGGAGAAGCCCTCGGCGCGGTAATCGGCATGTAACACATATTAGCGCCTACAAGACTGCACGAATACTTCACGCATTGCATCAAACACAGTGCGGTCATTGCCGACAGCGCGAAACGGTTAGCGCCTACAAGAATGCATGAACACTTCACGCATTGACCCTAACACAGTGCGGTCAGCGTGGAACGCATAGCGCCTACAGGACTGCGTCAATACTTCACGCATTGCGCCAAACACAGTGCGGTTGGCGCGGCGCGGCGGCGGAAGTGAAAATCATTAAACCAAATTTTGTGTTTGTTCTTTCATAATGTTTTCGTTCATTTCTTACGAATGGAAGGCCTTGTCCAATAGAAATAGGTTTACGAAACTTGACTTTCGCGCAAAGTTCCGTGACCTTTTGCTAGTAGTGTTGACAGGGCTTTCCCAAAAAATGTGTTCAACACGAGTAAACGTGTCTGATGCACCCCTCCCCCGATGCTGCGTTCACTTGATGGTTTTTATTGATGTTTCAAAACGAATGAGAAGGGGGCGGCAAAATACATGCGGCCCATGGGCGGCAAGTAGGAAAATCCGGCCCTGACAAGTCCTCTTACAAAATATTCAATTGTGCCGTAGTATCGTATGTAAAGCGGAAAGTTAAAAAAAAAAAAAAAAAAAAAAAAACGCTTATTCCTCGCGTAGATTGTGAAGTTAAGGAGAGTATTTCAGACTTTCCCGAAGCGCTCATCGTGAATTTTAAGCCATTTTCTACAGGACATAACTTGTCTTTTTGCTCTGGCTGTGGAATTTGCATTAGGCCAATTCAATTTTTCTCTCATTCTTCCATTTTTACTTCTTATTTGATTATTCATTTATTTTGAGATTTATTTTTTAAAATCATTTTTCGATGCGTTTTAATTCGTTTTTTACTATTATTAGGACCCGGATATGCAAGGGCCTAATAGTGCAGGAGGGGTAAGTTCTATTCGTGCACCGGGCAGGTGAAAACTTCGTATTATACGTTGACCCTTTCCTCCTCTTTGAGAGGTTTAGTTAGGCCTCCCTTTCTCTTTTCACCTTTCGCCGACATACTTAGTAAACCTAAACCTTTAATTTTTTTGGCTGTTCCTGATCCATAATTTCCATAGATTCCGGTGTATATTAATTTAACTAACAACTTTCAGTTGCTGATAGCCGAATAAAATTAATGATTCAAATAATATTACAGTGTAAGTGCGGTGCACCAGGAATTCTGTTATGCTGTACGTCATTAGACATTAAGTTTCTGTTCAGTGAATGACTCAGTTGTACCTATGTACCAATTTTACCTAAAAAGAGTGTATTTATTTAGCTAAATCTCTTGCGTGCAACAGACCCATTTAGAGTGTACAGATAATCCCCCCCCTTTTTTTTTAATGCTCTTCACCAAATTGTACGTAGAGGAAATTTGCACATTTTTGTTCATCATTTTAACGGCCTATTTCATTTGTTATGAAATTTTGAATTTCATTCAACAACAACAGTTCAAAAGTTCAAAGTCAAAGCTCAAAGTTACATTAAGTTCGAACAACAACAGCTGCGAACCTGGAATTCCAGATAACCTACTTTTTAACTACAATGCGTTTGGACTAAGTCAATAAACTGTCTAAGGCCGTATGCGGTAGAGCAACATTCTTAGGAGACATTTTAAATCTATAGGACGAATTTTTCCAACACATTGGAGTGAGGGACGCTTGTGACTTGTTTCCCTCTGATTTTCCTCAATGGATTTATAGTTCCATGTACGATAGTACCCAATTTTCAATTGTAGCTCTTCTGTAAATATTTCCCGAGATTAGTGCTTTGAATTACTATCAGTCCATAGTTTGAAATTAACAGTCAGTGCCTTAAAACCCCTTGTCAATTTCATCCCCACAGAGGAGTCCTCTCTATATAATTCATTTAAGATGTAAATTACTTGTACTATTCACTCTACTTGGTAAAAATTGCGATGAGACTTTACATACCTTCACTGAGAACAACCTTTTTGCTTTAGACAAGTACAATTACATTTAATTAGTCTAGAAAATTTTCCCCTTGCTCATGTTGTACATACTCTGAACCTATCATAGGCCTCTATTGTAATTAATTTGATGGTCTGGATTTATTGACAACCGGACCTACGATCTTTTAATGGACAATGATCGCTATCCACTCAAACTTTCCTTTCGTCGCACACTGGAACGGGTCTTTTGGAGAGGTCGGACATGAACTTTTCAACTAAAGCTATGTTTCGATGTCTATATCCGGTGATAGGACAAAATGTTCAAAAATAAATGTCCAGAGTAAAAAAAAAGGCTGATGTGAAAAAAGTCCGTGAGCAAAAAATGTCCAGGTATCTGAAATGTCCAGTAGCAGTGAAATGGCCAAAATAAAAAATGCCCAGTCCTACAACAAGTAGTCCAGTTACTACAAGTCATAATTTTCATTGCCATTTACCTGTTCTTATAAATTCTTCTGTCTATTGTGTCTAGGTAAATAATTAACTATACCGAGAAAAGGTCAGGAAAACTCTGTATCACTGCTTCTTCATTATCTCCGTGGATATTTCTGTAAAAAGCTTCCAAGCTCCCTATTTCGCCACTTTGTCAAATTATGTCACATTTGGACATTCTTGTTTTCGGTCATAATACTGATACCGGACATTCCAGATATTTGGACACGTTTTAGATACGGACTTTTTTGACTTAGGACATTTTTTACTTCGGACTTTCATTTTTTTACATTTTGTTGTATTACCCTATTTTCTCCTATTGACATTTGTAACAGTGGCGTGGCGTGCTTTGCGATGTATCGATTGTTATGCCATTTAAACCTATGGAAAATGATCGATTAACAGGGTGTTCGCAGCGAACACCTGAAAAATCGATTCTTTACCCTAGGTTTGAATGGCAGAACAATCGATATATCGCAATTCAAGCCACGCCACTGATTTGTAAAGGATGCCTTTCAAAGAAACCTTTGAGAGAAAACCGATGAAACCACTTTTAAACTTTTACGTTTCGTGTTAACGAAGTCATGAGTCGAAACAATAGTCTCCATACCATGTCCAGCCTCTCCCCTTGACTTGCTCCATCAAGCGTCGACTCCCTGTATCGCTGAACTGAATACAAACAATTGTCTCTTCATTTCCAGGAGAATTTTATCAATGTTGGATTTCTGCGGCTTTTTCGTGCTGCTAGACTAATCAAACTACTACGGCAGGGATACACAATTAGAATTTTACTCTGGACGTTCGTTCAATCATTCAAGGTGAGTACGAGAAACCCGAAAGGTTTTGGCAAGTGACGTTACCGAAAGAAATGTGCACATTGTGCTTGCTGTTTGGTCTTCATGAATTCCTTTTGCATCGCACAAATTATTCGTTACTTTTCGCGTAAAAAAGTTCAAAAAACTGAGGAGTCATCGGGTTTATAACAGCACTTGCTGGATTAAATTTGTTTTGATTATCAGGAAGCACAAGAGGATTACAGCTGCAAGACTTATTTAAAAATTGGTGTTTTTTACATGTCTCGCTAAGAAATTGAAGACGCATATTTTTGAGGGGGAGGGGGGGGGGAGTGTTCAGTTGGACTTAATGGGTTGAACAGAAAATACCCAGATAGGAATGAAAATGAGCAAGGAGCAATTTTAAGCTCAGTTGACCATACATTTCTTCATGCATACTTAAATTATTGGTCAAGCAATAAAATTAAATCTTCCGCTTTAACCCAAATAAAGATAGGTACCGCCCTTCTGAAAATTTGTCATCATGATTGCTCAAAGTGCATCTCGAAAGCCGTGGATAGACGATAAAATTCCGAACCAATTCCGATCAAAGTAGACATGCTGATGACTGGTGGTCACCATCTACCATCAAATTTTGACGGGCCGCACTTTTTAGGCCTCGATAGACGATCAAATTCCCGAACAAATTCCGATCAAAGTAGCATCAAAGTGTCGGGAGTCATCAGTCTGAAATTCATTAATTTGCTTCATTTTAAAATGAAAACTTGACAGAAATGTTTCCTGTGGCAGGAAATGATGAATGATGGCACTCCGGTCTGATCTTACTTTGATCAAAAAAGTGCGGCCCGTCAAAATTTGATGGTAGATGGTGACCACCAGTCATCAACATGTCTACTTTGATCGGACTTTGTTCGGAATTTGATCGTCTATCGAGGCCTTTATGTTTAAAGTAAGATCAGAACGGAGTGCCACCATTCATCATTTCCTGCCACAGGAAACATTTCTGCCAAGTTTTCATTTTAAAATGAAGCAAATTAATGAGTTTAAGACTGATGACTCCCGACACTTTGATGATACTTTGATCGGAATTAGTTCGGGAATTTGATCGTCTATCCAGGGCTGAATGAAAGGAATCTACGTGGATGAAACCGTTCGATGCAGCATCGCGGTGGATGAAGTCAACCATTGCGATCTTTGACAGGCAATATACACGTTTATTTTGGACACAGAAACTTTGAAATACTCGCGTCCTTCGCAAAGCGAAGTTACGCTGACGTAAAATTTTCAGCAATCAAAACGCGATACCCCAAGAATGACACAGTTGACTCATTTTTTCAATAATTTGAGAAAAGTTAATGGTAAACAATTGGTCAGCGTTTAAAAATGCCGAGCTATATGAAAGATTTGTTTCAGGAGAGCGAACGTGTCTAATTCAGAGCTAAGTCCTAGGCTACGAAAGAATACTTTGTTCTGGGCTCATCTGCGAGATTGACATTTCTCTTTTTTCGTTGTCTCTAATTGCTCTTCTCTTTTATTACAGGCACTTCCTTACGTCTGCTTGCTCATCGCAATGTTGTTCTTCATTTATGCAATCATCGGAATGCAGGTACACATTACTTACTTCACCTTTGTTTTCGATCATTTTAGAGCGTTCCGAGAAAATTCCTCGGCAATCCAAATCATAACACTGATTTGATCTTTCACCATTCTTCTCTTTAGAATTTATCATATATACATCCACTGACTACTTTGTAAGATGAGGCAATCTTGCACTTACAAATGTGCACCCTATCAGCCGTCATAGTTACAATGAAAGTCAAAATAATTAAAACTAACACTCTTATATTCACCGGTGGACACTTTGAGGAATTTTTTCTGGGTATTGTATATTATCATGCCTTATAGAAATAGACTTAAAATTGCAAAAATTGCCGTCTTTCAGATCAGTTTTGTGATTGAAATAGATTCTAATTGAAAATCAACCATGTAGGTATTTTTTTATGGTTTCTCGGCTTGTTTTCCTACTCAAAATTTTATGAACAGCATCTCCGGGGCTCGTGTGTAGAGGCACACACTTGCTAAAAGGCGCTATGATACGTCTTTCATTGATATGAAGACGGTGATACTCCAAAAACGCGTTTCTCGGTTTACGTTCCTGCAGACTCGCAGTCATAATTTTATTTTTAAACGGAAAAACACACAACACCGCGCGATCGTCTCTTGAAACCTTACCTACCTGATTTTCCTCTGTGCAAAGAGTATTTTATGAAAAAGTCAAGCAATAATATTTTTGTGTTGTCTTTTGATGAAAAAAGGGGAGGCGGAGATCTTGAGACACCGCAACCGAGATACGCGTTTTTGCAATTGGACTCAATTTTTCACCAAGAATTACTATGTCTATCTCATTTTAGAAACAACATATGTGTCATTATTTTCCCCATACAGACAAGTGTTTTTATATATGAGCCAGAAATTTTAATTTTCCTGTTGCAATAATACCACCAATAGGCGGGTATCCCTGTTTCTCCGTGATCCCTGAGAAAACATGGAAATATATGGACGAGACAGGTCTTATCTCAAAATGCAGTTATGCCCTCACGCCCCTCATGGTAGAAAAACGACAATGTTTACAGTCTCAGTTGCACGTTATCTTGAGATCAGCCTGGATCTCACGGAGGAAGTCCAAGGATCTCCTAGTTTCCAAATTTCGAAAATGATAAATAATTTGTTTTCTACGTTTTATGTCCTCGAATTGAAAAATCTAATTGACCCTCCTTTTTGGGTTAAGAAAAAGAAATTACCAAGCCTTTCGTAGAAGTTACCTGATAAATTAAACCTATAATTCAACGTTTTATTACAACTTATTTAAGGTTTTTGGGAACATCAAACTCATTCCTGAGACCGCTCTGAATCGGCACAACAACTTTCAATCTTTCTTTGGAGCTCTATTACTACTTTTTCGGTGAGTCGTGGGCGCACAGTGGTTAAAACTCTGGCCGCTGAAAACGCACTTTTCGTTCATCGGCGTTGAGTTGAACACTGCCCAACGGAGACAAAATAACGAATGCACAACACATTCCGCGCTAATAAAGCAATTAGCAGATTTTATAGAAAAGATGTGAATCATTCAAAAGAAGAAGAAGAAAAACTAGGTTGATGCCATTCTCATATAACTGCTTATATTTTGTTTACTCAATGAATTTAGTTGATACAATTTTTGACGCGTAAATTGGTATTAGTCCTTTTAATATACTTTAAAAAACATTGGATTCCTAAAGAAAACCATTCTGTTGGCAATTTCTCGTCGCACTGGAAAAAAAAACACATTGGATGTAGAGTCCAGACTCTTAAAAACATCGACAAGAAAAAATACTCTTGATTCAATCGGATTTTTGCTTCAATCAAGAACCAAGCCTTTTAAAGCGGATTTCCTTTTGATCCAAGCAAAAATCTGATTGAATCAAGAGTACTTTTTCTTGTCAATGTTTTCAAGAGTCTGGACTCTAGATCCAATGTGTTTTTTTCCAGTGCGCGCAAGTACTTGCTGAACTCCAGAAGCCACTTCAATACGCAAAGTAAAGTTTCTGTTGCCACAAAAATATATTAATTTTGTTGAGATAAAATTTCCTGGAGTCCGTTGAATCTTTTTATTGCGATGCCCTTGCAACGAGGATAAGTTTTTCCTTCAGTGCAGTTGCTCAAATTCGGATGCAAATTGTAAATCTCGTTACATGGAAAAAGCCTCATTATATATTGTTGGTAGCAATACATTTATTACGAAATGATATGACGGCCAGTTTTCATCTCAAGGCCGGTGAAAGTGCGTTTTTAGCGTGGCTCAGATTGATGCTTGGTGTCAGCGCCATTGTCCACGTCCATGAACATGTGCGCTTATTGTCTGCAACTCTATCATAGCTGCGTGTAAATTGCCCTGGCTCGTTATATGTCCAATCATTCCTGTGTATATATAGAATCCTCACGTTTGGAATATCTTGCCATGTTTGTCAGTCCGTTTGCAGGTGTCATGTCTGACGGCCGTGATCGGGCTCAAAGACGAAGGGCGTCAATAATACTTGGATCAATCTCAATTTTAATTAATAAAAGCAAAAACGTATCCCGGATAGAATTGAACCAGCCATGAAGATTATTCCTCACTTATTTAAACAAAATACATATATTGACAATATTAAAATGAATTAATGCCATCTCATCTCGAATATTTCTCGAAATTTCGCGAATTTTTAGTTTACTGATAAGAAACTCGTGCCACTTGGAGGTATGCAATCTCTCTCGATCCATCTATTAATGTCGCCCATCGCCTACTAATTATGATCGTTCAATTTCAGTTGTTTGCATTCATACATCTCCATCATTTTGGGTTACTTTAGAAAGTGATTACAACTAGTACCTATCTATAGAAATAAAAATAATAAAACAAAGTTCGAGGTAGCTTACTGCAAAATTACTTTCCACGGGTGAGACTGGAGAATTTTTAGGGGAGGGGGCGGTTGTTACAGGACCATCCATTGACCTCCATCTGTCCAGAGGTTTAGTCGTTTTCCACCCCCAGCCCCTTATACATAATAATCGACCCAAATCACCATCTAAATTATGTCCACTTTTAGAATCACGTGATTGCTTGGGATAGAGTAAGTTTACCCCTAGCGAATACACCATTGCAGTAAGTAAATCAGAGCACAATCCTACGACAGTCTTACGAGTATTAATACAGTATTATTTTGAATAAAAATCATTCTCTCCATATTTAGATATCCCTCCTCTTTAGAATCTTAATTTTTTACTAGTCTTGTAGTTTCCCTCGTGTGAAAAGATCGGAAAGCGGCATCGATCGAATTGATGATAAGTGAGATACCTAAGTTTTGAATAATTATGCACGGATTACGCAAAAAAAAAAAATAAACGGAAGATAAATCGACTGAGAAAATATATCAAGAAAATATCAGGATTTTTAGTGTCATGCAAATGAGCTTGAAAACATTGATTCTTTTTCAATTAAAATTGTTCTCACCGCAGGGAGAGTGCTTTCAGCGTTTATTTCCGGCGATATTATGAATCATTTTTCTCTTTAGCACTGATTGCGGTCTTCCTGGTTTGGACATTGACATTTTCATTAGATTTTTGCGGACAAAAATCAAATGTCTACAATTTGTGGAATTTGTTGCGATTTTCCTCCATCCCTTATCTCCATTAAAGAGGAGCATTAAAAATGTCTGCAATCAAAATTATGCTTTTCACCTCTTAATAAAAATTAAAATAAATTTTTGCAGAAACTTTTAAACACCGTGATCGAGATATGCGCTTGCTTTAGTATCATATTGCAAGAAAGCTTTCGTGAAAAAAAATTCTGTTCATTAGGTGAGTTTCTGCAAGGCATGATCAAATTTCATGACTTAGGGTCATAAAATTCGTTCAAGGGTAAATGCTCCTTTAGAAATCAAGTTTTGCTATTGTGACAAACTTGTATGGATTACTAATTGGAAAAAGAGGAAAAGCTGTTGCCAGAAAAAGATGTTATAGTATCAGATTGGCTTACTCAGCATTGTAATTCCCCTGATAGTGCGTAATTTTGCGTCCTTATCTTTAAGAAAATTCTCTGTGTCCAAACCAAAAATGGATCGCAGTCATCTGCAGGATAATGAATCGATATTTCCGACTTTATATGTCTTTAAGATTTGTACTGACTACTAATGTTTGTGCTCCTTCTCTGGCTGTTGCAATATTCTGCTTTAGGTTTTTGGTAACATTGCATTAGATGCCGAAACTTCAATCACGAGGCATAACAACTTCAGAAGTTTCGTTCAAGGGTTAATGCTCCTTTTCAGGTAATTTTACATAAAAAAAGAACTTAACTGAAAAAATAAAGAATAAATATATAAAAAAGAACCTTGAAGAAAAGTCATGCGGAACTCCATACTTTATCTAAGTGGTCGCAATAACTTTTTTCTCTGTCCAATGAGAATGTATAATATGATGTGATATTGAAATATGATGCTGAATACATTAATGTTTCATAATTTAATATATTGAAAGATATTTAGAGTATTAATTCATTCTACCGCAAATTTCCATGGAATGTTGCGACTTTAGATCATTAAATCCTTCTTACGGTAAAAGGTTCATTTTCAAGATATGACACTTAAGATGTTTTAGAGGAATAAGATTGAATTTACTAACTTTGAATCTTCAATCAATTTAAGAGTGGCGTTATTCTTAGATTGCCTCCAATTATTTCCGGGGTAAAAAGACGAGGTGCTTCAGAAGAATTAGAGTAATGTCGTGGGCTGTGTTGGCATAGGGTAAAATTTTGACGTGCGTTTTTATACAAGTTGCTTTTGTATCGTTTTTTACACCTTTCTGATAGAAAATTTGAATGGACATTAGGTCATATTAATAATTGCTCTTCTTTCTCTATTAAGTAATCATGGACACGTTTTAATCATATTGGGAACTTACCAACCAATTTAGATCTTCTCCGGAGCTTGACCTGGTATCAATTAGATAAAGATGTATATTTGGATTAAATGTTAGCTAGCTGTACGTGAAAAAGTCTTTCTTGCTTACATGGTAGTAGTGTTTAGCACATGTGTTTGAAATGTGTCGTCGTGTGTCTATCAAGAGTGTTTATGTTCTCCTGATATGATATATTCAGTGTACTTTGTTAGTAGTCGTGTATTTGTTAGTCGTATAATTAGCGTAGATGTCTATGTTCTAGAGGATTACAATACGTGGGTATTTTTTAGTCTTTTAACGTGCTCAAAAAAATATACTTTTCAATCGAGCTTGTCTTAAAAGTGAAATCCCACTGATGATGCACGATGATATACCTTAGATGTTCGGGACCAAAGTCTTGCATAAAGTACTAAAAAAAAGTACAGTACTAAATTCTTACAAAAATTTCCGACGGATGTCTTTAAGTGCTTTCTGCAAGATTAGAGTTAAAGTAGACAGGCCTTAAGTCACCTCTGTATATGATATCATTTGTGAATAAGAAAAGCATAATTTATTTTCAGATCAAATTAGATATTTACCCTACCGAGAAAATTAAGAGCTGAAGCTCAAAAGACACTCTAAAAATCTGAATTTCAAATCAATTGCTTTTAAAAAAGATCCTCTAAAGTTCTTAATTTACGGATGAAGGAATCAGTGAACGATCAGTAATATGTAAATTAGGGTATTTACAAGAAACCATAGATGAGATTTTTTGTAGAGGATAGACTTTTTTTAGACAAATAAATAGATAGACAAATCAATACAAATATAGTAGACCATGACACATTAAGCAGCTGATAACGACACAAGAGAGAAAACGAAAATTCATGAGCCATAAAAGATAGATGTGTGTAGACAGATAGACAGGTGGATAGATGGATGGATAAAAAGATAGGTAGATAGATAGATAGACAGACAGATAGGTTGATAGATAGATAGGTAGATAGAAAGATAGATAGAGAGATAGATAGATAGATAGATTGATAGATAGATAGATAGATAGATAGATAGATAGATAGATAGATAGATAGATAGAAAGATAGATAGATAGTTATATAGATATATATCTATTTTAGGATTGTAGATTCATTAAATTTAAGAACTAAAAGGGGTGTTGTTATTTAAAGAAAGAATATGAGCGTGATGACGGATTGAAGCAAGTAGATACAAATCGTAGTCAAATGAGTAGATACTTAAGATAAAGTTTAGATTTAGATAGCTACCTAGAAAAATGTACATACCAATATGTAAAGATGAGTACTGATATGCATATAAACTGTGTGTGTAAACATGGACAGTCAAAGTAACTACGACTGATAAAAAATAGATTTCTAGGATAGTTTGTTACTTTGATAAATAGATTCAGAATTTCCAATGAATATCCAAATAAGTGTTTTAGTTCGAATATCAACCAACAATGAGTAACATTCTTCATTGGATACTTAATTTGTTGGTGTAGTAACATTATTATTAGTTACCATGAGATGAAAAAAATAGCAACTAGATATAGAAGAAATTAGATTTTCTTGATACGTCAATGTAGCCGGCAGACAAAAGAATGAAAAAATAATGCTAAGGACCTCTTGCTTTACAATTAAATTATTCTGCTCAAATTTTGAAAGAATATAATCAAGGAACGATTGGCAAAAGGGGGGGAGGGAAGTTAAATTTCATAAACATTTTAGAAGTATGAAATTAACAAGTATTATTTTCATCTAATACAAACTAATCTTTTAAAAAATGTACATTTCCTCTTTCAGATGTGCCACCGGAGAAGCGTGGCCGTCGATAATGTTATCCTGTGTAAAAGGAAGGCCTTGCGATCCAAAAGCTGAAAAGCCACCAAATGACTGCGGTTCAGTAGTTGCTTACGGATATTTTGTATCTTTCATATTTTTCTGTTCTTTTCTCGTAAGTGTTAACTCCTTATCTTTATTTTTATCCTTACTCAGTAGCTCTGATTACATTCATGTCGAAAGTTTGAGAGGTGTTCATATATTTGCAGCAATCCTTCGTCTAACATGGACTTATAAAATGAATGCATGACACGTTATCAAAATTCGCACTATTGTATCATGCAGTTTTATAATTGCTGAAAACTAGGGGGTCCGTAACTTGGCCGCTGCGAGGAAAGCTCCGTAATTTTGATGAATGCCTGCCATTCCTAATATATTAGAGCGCCTTATTCAGTTTCGTATGATACTGTGCAATACCTCTGGTGTGAAATAGTTGCTTCAAGCGCCGTGGCACGCTGCGGTGCGGCAGGCGGGCAGCCAGCGCGAAACGCGCATTGGCGCCTACAAACCTAACAGGGATACTTCACGCGTTGCGCAATGCGTGAAGTATCCCTGTTAGGTTTGTAGGCGCCAGTGCGTCGCCGCTCCGCTTTGTTTTAGGCTCTAATATTAAAAAAGGCTCTCTAATAAAAAAGCCAAATTATGCCTCTGAGTGACATCACAGAGCTGTTAACCCTGTTTGGATAATACATATAATACAGCAACGTAATCTGTCAACTATTGTAGATTTTTTCCAACTATCAATGATAGGTTTGTGTTTAGATTAAGTAGTTTTTCAGTTTAAAATGTAATGAATCAAATTCTAGGCTTCTAAGAATTCTCCATTGTTTGATGTTTACTTCCAGATGTTAAATTTGTTTGTTGCTGTTATTATGGATAATTTTGATTATCTGACTCGAGATTCATCTATTCTTGGTGCTCATCACTTGGAGGAGTTTGTTAGAATATGGGCTGAATACGACCCGAACGCTACGTAAGTTTTCCCTTTCTTCCATGCTTTATTTTTCATTTCAAGTGCACTTCAGTTTTGAAAGGAAGGATTTGATCTCACCTCTATAAGTGCACTTTTTTGGCAAGTGGGAAGTTAAAATTTTGGAATATGGATAACTATGATCTCTCATTCATTGATTAGTGCACGGATTGGTTTTGAGATGATCAACAAATTGAACACATTTTGCATGAATGCTCAACATGAGAACAGGATTTTGTTTACAACTTGGACTCTGAGCATAGTACTTAAATTGGACTGCATTTTGCAATTTGGAACTATAAATTCTGGCCCTGTTTAAAAACAACGTATGTGCCATTAGTTTCCCTATGCACATAAGTGTTTTTCCAGAAGGGCCAGAATTAATAATTCTAAATTGCAAAATGCAGTCCAATTTTAAATCCACTCGAGGGTCCCTTCACACTGGCCTCAGTTACTGAGTTCGTGTTTTACTTTACATTTATGGAATTTTTCATTTTTTATGAATTTTAGGGGACGGATACATTATACGGAAATGTATGACATGCTGAAAAACATCGACCCACCTCTAGGTTTCGGAAATAAATGTCCGTACCGGTTAGCGTTCAAAAAATTAATCAGAATGAACATGCCCCTGGACCAAGACTGTAAGGTGCACTTCACGACCACCCTCTTTGCCTTGATTCGGGAAAATCTCTCCATCAAAATGCGGACCGGTGAGTGAGCATGCGTTACATTACCTACTTCCAAATTATCGAATCAAATCAGTGAAACGTACTTATGAATGACATAATATAGCATACAGATACACGATTTGTCCAACAAATATTGCTTTAGCAAAATCCTAGTTACATCTCTCACGATTAATTAAAAATACATCAATTGTGGCAATATTGATAAGATGCGCAGTGATTTGAAAATGCAAAAATCTGGAACTACGGATAAACTCATTTTGACACTATTCATTTGTAAAACGCGATGAAATGAACACAAGCAAATACTCTGGCGTCCATCCAATTTCTCGAAAGCTACCACGCTAGTCGCGTAAATGTAGAAGGGGCGAAATAAAGTGGAATCCTTTCGGTGTTGAAGGAATTCCAAAGCTTTTTTTAATTCCCGTAAGCTCTTCGCAATTGAACAGTTTATTACAGAAGAACAAAATTTTATGATTTTGCCCACGAGGTCTTCCAAAATTGAGTTAAAATAAACACGGTCCGGATAATCCGAGGTTTAGTTTACTTTGAATTTGCGGTTCTTCTTTCAACAAGACATTTTACTTGTAAATGCAGGTAAAAAGAAATATCACACGAAATACATCCTCAGACTTATTTTAAGCTTATGCGTGATCATGAAACTCTTCTTGATTTTTAGCTGAGGAAATGGACCAAGCCGATGAAGAATTAAGATGTACGATCAGGAATATATGGCCACTTCAAGCCAAAAAGATGATAGATCTTTTGATACCAAAGAAAGATGGTAAGTATTGTCTAAATGTATGTTTTCTATCTGCACCGTTCTCCTAAACACATCTGTTCCTGTTTCCTTTGTTCATAATATTTCAGGGGCCGCAAATAATTGCTCGATTCAAACTAACATCTTCTATCAGGGCCGGATTAAGGGAGAGGCCACATGGGCCGCGGTCCATGGCGGCAAAATTAGGGGGCGGCAAATTTTGCAATTTTTTAGATATATGTATTAAATAAAATCGGATTCAGAAAAAAATTACAAACAAGAAAAGGTGACGAAATCTCTCATTTAATGAGAGTTCATTAATTTCTAATTTTGTCGTATTTCGGTGATACAAAAGACTGCGCACCTTTATTTAGTTGAGTTAAGAGAGAAACCAAACACGTAATTTGGCCTGGAGCGGCGCGGCGCAAAGAGAAATGATGACGAGGACTTGAGATGAAAAGGAGAAGTCCCCGACGCGGCGGTCGGCATGTAACACATATTAGCGCCTACGAGACTGAATGAATACTTCACGCATTGCGTCAAACACAGTGTGGTCAACAGCAGTCGCTCGGCGCGGCGCGAAACGCACAGTGCCTACAAGACTACATGAATACTTCACGCATTGCGCCAAATACAGTGTGGTCAGCGCGGCACGGCGGCGGAAGTTAAAATTATTAAACCACATTTATGTTTGTTCTTTCTTAAGTTTTTAGTTTATTTCTTACAAATGAAAGGCCTTGTCCGGACAGAGATAGGTTTCCGGAACTGAACTTTCGCGCGAAGTTCCATGAACTTTTGCTTGTAGTGTTGACAGGGCTTACGCAAAAAATGTGTCCAACACGAGTGAACGCGTCTTATGCACCCTTCCCCCTCCGGCACGTTCACTTGATGGTTTTTATTGTTGTTTGTATCAAAGTGAATGAGAAGAGGGCGGCAAAATACAGGCGGCCCATGGGTGGCAAGAAGGTAAATCCGGCCATGTCTTCTATGTAATAAAACTATGAATGTTATTTATGCGATCTGTTGGAGGACCTCTGGCAAGATCGCTGTCAGTGGCGGTTGGGTGTCACAGAGCGCACAAAAGGCCAATAAAAGCAACTTATTAGTAGTAGCAGTAGATTATTTCGAAATGAAAAAGGCTGCGCAGTTAGAGAGAGCTGCAGTGATTGATTCAGAGGACAGTATTTATAGCAGTGATATAAGCTGAATATTGTCCGTGTGAAAGGAATGAACCGATAAAATTCTACTTCGATCTTATGAACTTGATTCTGTGAGTGAATATTCTATGGAGTGAATTTTTTATGATTTCTTTAGAGTTAAATGCGGGGAAACTAACAGTTGGAAAAATTTACGGAGGACTTTTGATCCTCGAAAGCTGGCGAAGTACACGCTTTGGTCAGACAGAGCCGTCAGGACAGTCCGTGAGTATATTTTTTTACATTCTATCAGTGAGACCGGTCTGGTTTCCTAAGACCCTTCATGTCAACTTCGAGATCCTTGAATCCCGAGTCAAATCATTTATTAAAAAAAATAAAAAATAAATAAAAAAAAAACTCCAAAACATTATTCTTGAGGTCAATAGTTTTGCCAAAAATTTCTAAACCCTTGTTTTACGTAGCTTGTCTTTCTACTGAAAAAGGTCAAGCTTATAGGTATTAACTAAATTTTAAGTTTCCTAAATCCTAACGAATTACAAACGTGCCTGGATGCCCATGATATTAAATTTTACACCCATAGAGATTTTTCACGCACGGTTAAATGATAACTGTTAAATAAATGAGCATGACAAAAATCCTATACATATTTCTAAAAATACTAATTCAAGTAATCAACAGTATTTACCAACATCAATATAATTAATGATAAATAGCTACTAAAAATTTTATATAGTTGAGAAAAAACTTAAATCGAATATAAATAATGTAGACAAGTCTTACGCACACATTTTAAAACCTAATTATTTAAACGGCGACGACGCAAATACATAAAGAAAGGTACTCGTGAACCGTCACATCAACATGATAAATGAATCATCGTCTTAATCATAAATATTACTACAGTAATCTCATCACATGCGTAGTCTCGTTAGAAGATATTTTACGGTCATGCATTCGAAGAACAGTTTGCCGATCCGTCTTGCACCTTCTTGTAAAAGTCTAAAAACGTATTTTTCCGTCTTCTTCATAAGCAACACTTTACTTTATGTAACAACAGTGAATATGATGCAAATATGCATGCATTGAAAGCATATTTTGTCCTTCCAATGCGGTGTATATTACAAAGTTGAAAAAGTAAGTAAAATCAGATGAAAATTTCGGAGCAGGTCACGGAATAAGATAGCTCTAGAGATTTTAGATTCTACTTTAGTTAGTTTTCTGGACCCGAAGCACATAAAATGTAATCCTTTTGCACAGAATAATTGATGCATCAATGATGATGTCTAATATAGATGCCAAACGGAAACCTCAAGCTGTTTGATTTTTGGATTTTGAACTTTCCATTTCTAGTTTTTCAATGTTTCGTCTTGCACATTAAAAAAACATAGATATTATTTATCTGTACTTGTCTTTTCTTTACGTACGTGAAAAAACAGGTATTACTATTTTTAAAAGTGTTCGTCCAATAATTTTAAAAGAGTTTGTTGCCCTAGTTAGCAATGTGGGATGTCTGTAACATGTTTCTCTAGACACTTTATAAACTTCGAATGGCACGTCGAAATTCTCTTATCAAGAAAAAGTTTTAGAGGAGTTCGTTTTATGTACCTCTTTTTTTTATTTTTTTATTATTTATTTTTCTCTTTTACTTCTTTCTTTCTATCACACTCATCATCAGTTAATAGAGGAAAGCTAATTTTTTAATTTTCTTGTAATTTTTGTACGAGGGCAGATATATTTCAATATTATATTTCTCTATGCGCGTAAGAACCCTCAGGGGTTGATTTTTTACAGTTTTTATTTTTTTATTCCATTTTGGTTTCTTTTCGTTTTTTTAATTGTTAACTGTTGTCCCGTGTATGTTTTACCATAAATGTTTTGTCTCAGTGTTCCACTGTATGTTTAAGAATTGAAAACCATTTTCTGTCGTCAGTGTCTGAACTGTAATTGTTGACATGACATGCGTAAATGAGTAATTTATAATGCTCTCGGTTGACAAAGAAAGAAACATATTAGTGAGAATATGATATTATTTTTCTTTATCTTTTCTTCTCCAATATATTCTTCGATTTTTCGCCTTGGATATTTTCACTTATTCTTAAGCGGTATGGTTGATTTTGAAAGTCGCCAACTCAGGTCATAGAAAATTTATACCCCTTCATCGCGCAGTTACATTAAAAAATTAGAGGATATTAAAACTTAAACTTAATTTTGCCGTAAACATCTCATGCATTCACAAGGTGAATTTGATGAACCCGGTTAATAACCATATTTTTTCATTATTAACGTCAATCTCGGAAACTATTGCTAAGAGAACAGTGTAAAACCAGTTTTTGGTCTACCTCATTCTGTCAACATTTTTTATTTATGCCCATTGCCCCGAGCAGAATTGAAAAATAATTATATTTGTGGTTGTTCTTTTATTTTTCATGCAAATTTCTCTAAGGTTATATTCCCAAGTCATGTGCTTTTAAGTATATACTCATAGGTGAAACAACAATGTACTAGCAATACACTTATACCATATTTTCCGAAGGGAAGTCATCAGGTTAGTCCATAGGACGTGTTAATTGATTGATAATCCCGCCAACATAGTAACACACAGATAATTCCTACACCGAAACTTTTGACTCATTTCTTGCACACTGCATGTTTGTAGTAAAAATAACTTTTTCATTGTAGTATTCGTCTCGATAAAGTAAAGTATTTGGTTGTACAAATTTCATTTTCTAGGCATTTGAGATTTAAAGAAAAAACCTAAAATAAGAAATATTTGATATTTGAAGTTAATTGCAACAATATTTAAAATTACATCTCCATTAATTCAAAACCTAACAATCAAAGTTTGGTAGTGTCCAAATAGTCTTAAATCTCTTTAAATATCTTTTCTTAAGACTACGTCCTTAGAATCACGCATCATCGGAAGGTTTAAGATATTCAATAAATAAACAGGCTCTTACCCACAAAAGTATTTTAAGATCTTAAGTTTTAGATTTGAACGTTTCTTCGCATTAGAAAATTTTGAACTGTCTAAAAGTAACACTTTTTTGCTCCTTTCTTTCCTTTTTTCCTGATATTTTGGAAAATAGGCTACATTATAACATTATAGAAACTCATTGGAACAATCGATAAAAGAGAAAACTAAAAAGAATATTATAAACATACAGGGTGATCCAGACCTACCGTACCAAGCCTTTTTTGCGGTTAATTTGGGTCGCACGAAGTCTAGGATCGCGGGAATGAATAGGGAATCGACCCCAAAGAATCCGAATTTCATGGTCCCAGAGCCCTCCTGGCGCTCCTTAGGGAGTAAAAGGGGGGTCCGTACTTCAAAAGTCAGGGTCTCAGGGTTTATGTCAAAATTTTAAAATTATTTCATCGGAATCAGTACTTGCGGAAATGTTTAACTAAAATCGATACCAAGAAATCCAAAATCGGCCCATCCGTGTTCAAAATACCGACCCCTAAAGGCGGAGGACAGAGCCCCTTCTCAAAAAAATTCAAGTTCACTAAATTGACGTGGAGACTCGGAAAAAATGTGTGTTCGTGGGTAATCGACTCCAAGGAATCCGAATTTGAGGGTCCCGTTGTCCTCAGAGACTTTTCTGATGGGACACAGGGGACTCTGAACTTTTAAAAACCGGTGTGGAGGTTACCCCTGTGCCCCATCAGAAAAGTCTCTGAGGACAACGGGGCCCTCAAATTCGGATTCCTTTGGGTCGATTACCCATAAATACACATTTTTTCCGAGTCTCCACTTCAATTTAACAAACTTGAATTTTTTTGAAAGGGGGCTCTGTCCTCCGTATCCAGGGGTCGGTATTTTGGACACGGATGGGCCGATTTTGGATTTCGTGGTGTCGATTTAAGTTAAAAATTTCCGCAAATTCTGATTCTGATGAAAGAATTTCAAAATTTTGACATAAACCCTGACTTTTGAAGCACGGACCCCCCTTGTACTTTCCAAGGGGCGCCACGGGGGCTCTGGGCCCATGAAATTCGGATTCCTTGGGGTCGATTCCCTATTCATTCTCGCGACCCTGGACCTCGTGCGACCCAAATTAACCGAAATAAAGGCCTGGTACGGTAGGTCTTGGCCACCCTGTATAATATCGGATAAATCGCCCTACAAGAAAGTTCTTGGAAAAATAATGTTGCTTCGGTAAATATTTTATAGAGGCAATGCTTTGAAATGAGAAGCAAAAGATGATGTACTTTCTAAAAGTCTTCATGGCTAAGATCTCTACTGAAGTTTTATACGTGCAACGAAAAATTAAATCAATGCTAAACTTACATATTTTTAATTTCCGACCATCGAATGATAAATGATAAGGTATACGTTTATTTAAAGGACCCCAACCTTTTAACGGCAAACATCGGGCAGAGATTGCATAATTGTGCTTGTCAGGTAGCAATTAAAAAAGTACATCGTCGAACAAGCTATGTATTTGCATCGATATTGAAGCTATCAGAAACGAAGTATACAATATATTGTTACATCTTTGAAAGAAGTTAATTACAATACGCCACAAGAGGATTCTTCTTTCAAGCACCGGTTCGTCGGAAATTTGTGCAACTTGCTTTGAATTTTAGGTGTACATTTATTCTCGTCTTTTCATTTGTGGATTTTATTTCCTTGTGTTGCTTGTCTGATTCGCAAAATTTAAAATGCGTATTTTCAATGTCATAGATGTTATAATTATCCATGCTTGAAAGGTGTGTCAGTAACGTGAAATTGACCATTGATGTGTCATAACAGAAACCTAGAATGGTTTATTTGTTCTCCATTGTTATTTCTATATAGCGACCATTTCATTTGAAAGATATTTATACAGGTAATATAACCAGGAAATGATTTTTAGGAAGAATTTGTTTGTCAGTTTGTTAACGATAGGTTTATGAATAGCTCTTCGAGAAAATTCTGAGTAAAAAACGCTATAGTAATTGGGACAATCGAAAAAATCGGTCAAAAATTATCTGTTATTTTCCTTAATCGATCCTTTGAAAATGATTCCCTCTCATCCTTGTCCGACTTAATAATAACTGAAAATTGAAAAGATTTTGTAGTATGCGTGAAAAAATCACCAATGAATCAACTCCATTCCAAGAGTATGTTGTTACTTTTCCCATAAAATTAAGAGCTCAGCTTAGAATGTAAGCGCTCGTTTTCATTTAAGTTTTGAGTAGAAAAAGAGACGAGTTGAAAATCGTTTTTTTAAATCCTAATTCAGCTTGAACTTTAAAAAATGGACACAAATTTGTACCAATTACAGATTTATCAGTTTTGAAGTGGATTAACACTATGAACTTTATGTTCCAAAACAATAATAAAATTACATCTATATTTAAGTGGGATTTAGGACTGCCTTAAGTTGGTAGAATTCTGAATGAAAACATCAAGTGAAAGGTTATAAATCATGAAAAAAAGTATATTTTTGGCTTAATTAATGAAACAAATAATGCCGCAATTCCCTTTAGTAAAACATAATTACAATTAAAAATACGTGTTGGAAAATTGACAGGCCCGATTTAAATTAATTCTATTGTTAGGTAACTTGAAATGTGAATGAGTTATAACAAATTTAACGTTGACTGTATAATTTATTGTTGTAATTAAATTTAATCTTCGCCGATTTATCAGAAAAAACGATTTATCTTTAGCAACTTCAATAGTTAAAGTGTAATAAGTATTTGCTTTAAAATTGCTATCAGTTGTTATCAGTTCAACTGTTAGTGAGAATATTACAATATTGGTTCAAACTGCTGAAATAAATTTGAACTGCGCAAACTTACAGAATTTTACTCCGCGATTTTATTTTACCGTGGATGTCAAATTTTTCAAAGATTCGTAAAGACATATTCAATTGTTCTGTTTTTCCTCTCTCTTTTTTTCAACTCAATGGTTAACGCACAAATTGCATGGATAATTTGTTCATTTGTTTCTTTTCCGCAATAAAATACATAACTAGATAGTGATTTGTACTCAAAGTCTTAGTATAGAGGACCATGATGTTCAATTTCTCCTTCAGCCAATGACTGTTGTTTGAGGTCTTATGGTGAATAATAAGTAGCTCATGAAAAGTGTTTGAAAAAATAACAAATGTGTGTTTTTTTCAGGAATTTGGTGACCAATGTCCCTCCAATACTAATGAGGCGGTAGTATATAGATTCTTATTAATATTAACTTTTTTTCTTAACCTTCCGGTTCATACTCTTTCATTTTTATTTTATCAATTTAATTCGTTAACCCTGTAGCAGGATTTTTTTTATTCCCTCACTTTTTTGTTACTCATTATTTTCTTTTACTTCTTTGCTCTTTCCTGAAACTCCGCCCTGTTATCTTGGATTTTAGAACGTCGCTTTTTACAATAGTTACCCATTTTCGACATCTATTTTGCCACTGTATACTTCAACAAACATGTAAATTTTTGGGAAGATAATCTGCTAATAAAGCTCACCATGTGACATTGGTTTTTATCATATACATACCGTCATCATGTAATATCAGCCTCATCAAGTCAGATGTAGGATAACATGCAAAGTCGCCATTAAAGCGGTAGTTATAAAATCAACATTTTTCATTTCAAATCTTCCGCATTAAGCGCGTGCGGGTGTGTCCCTTTCATAGTTGGGTCCTCTCATGATTTATTTCATTTTCGTGATATAAAATTTCGCAATCTAATGTCACGAATAAGAAGAAAAAACGCTACCTCCATGGACGCGGGGGTGTACTGCTCATATTTAAAATATATTTTGTAAGTAACAGCTATGCTGCGGCTACAGCGTATTTCACGGAGCAAAATTGAAGTTTAAATACATATTTAATTTTTTCCTTCACTACTTCATAGGAGAGAATGCTTGAATTTTTATTACCCGTATCACAATACTGAAGAGGAAACTCGCAAATTTATACATCGGACGTATAATATCCTCGTTGACTATACAGAATAAGTAGTTCCAAATTTTATTTTCATCTTCTTTACTTCCTCTTCGTCTCTAGAACAGCCTATTACAATTCAGATTTCTCGTGGACAGAGATTGACCAAACTTAACTATGACGAAAGCAAAGTTTTGAAACCTTTTTACTTTTTTTCTGCACATCAGAGATTCAACAATCTGAGCGGTTTCAAAAGTAAATACAAAATAAATACCACAAAATCCGCTTAAGTTCAGTAGGATCTAAGATACACTCGATCAATTAATCGTATCCCAAACACGATTTTTTTTCCTAAAGTTGAGTAGACGATGAGCACTTTCACTACATTTTGTGAATTTTTAAATTAGCTTCACCTTAGACTCACATAGCTGTGATGTCCGAAACTCCTTTGGGATCTGAAACCGTCTGATTTTGGTTGCCCTGAATTTAAAGACGTAAGGACCTTCGCGGATAGCTCACTTGTGCATATTATACCAAAAATCACACAATTGATTAATATTAAGTTACAAACTGAAAAATTGTCACGAAATTTACTCTTGAAAAAACATACATCACGTTCCTACGTGAGTTATCGTTCATCACCAGCAAGGTAAATTGATGGTGAAATCCGAGTATCTGATCATTAGAGTTGTCCGTTTGGACGGAATGGTTAAATTAACCACCGTCAATAACGCAACTGCTTTTGTGTGGTCCTGAAGGCATGAAGCCCATAAAGAGCTACTTATCGCTTGATTCCTCTTATGTCAGTTGTGGCATGGCTTGCAACCGCTTTAACTCGCATATAATTGCATGCGCTTCTTGCATTTAGTTTGCTTGTCAAATCTATGTAATTTTACGTACGGTTCTTTGCGACAGGCGTTCCCAAATTGCGGCTTTGAAGGTTGTCCCAGAAAATTATGGGGTAGATTTTGTCTTGAAATTCTTTGAATATATCGATAACTTAATGATTGATCACTCCTAATGCCAAGGCTCAAGTAACAAAGGAGCTAAAAAATTTAAAAAAATGCGCAACGTAAAAGGAGAGATTATCAAGATAATAGAATCCCACAATCCGTGAGAAATCAGATCCTAAGAACTTGATAATACCCAAAGTTGACCATTTGGGAATCCTGGAGCTGCCTTAAAAAACTGATTAGATTTTCCTGGTGACGGACTAACTTTTTTGCAGAACTTCACATGTGCTTTTGTTTTTAAATGTTATTTCCTTACACTTAGCAATTCAATTCATGAAGGCGCATAAATAAGTTTACACCGTCGAGATTTTTTTAGTTATTCATTTTGTGGGGAACTTGTTTCTGGGAGATGCCACACGATTTTCCAAAGCTATAAAACACTTATCATCCAAAAATTTCATTAACTATGAATATAAAAGTTTTTAAGTTGAAATTCATTTTTATGAATCGGAAGCATTATATTTTTCATAAACAGTATTCTTTTTTGGAGAAATTGACAGATTTTACGTGCATCTCACTTCCAAGTAAAATTAAAATTATATTGTAGCTTCCTCTCTGTTTCTTTTCAATCTTTGAGCCAAATTTGTTCAAGTCTCCTGAAAGTTCTTTGCAGTCATACCTTAAAAACGACCCATCTGATGGTCTGCATGATGCGTCAAAAGGAAAATATAATCATGTTTATTTACTTTACGTTTGTCTGATTTCTGCATATCAACTAGTCTTCCCTTTTCTAGTTAAATTCAATTTTATTTAATTTTTCTTTTTCGTTATTCTGAGCATGAAAATCAATGATGTCCATGCATTATTTCTCCTCTCTATCTACTCGAAAAAATATTTGTGATATGGTTATCTAGGTTTCCCTAATTCAGGTTAGTCTCCAAATCAAACACGAGTATTTCGGCACTCCGTAGTGTCAAATTGTCGTCAAAAATAGGGTACCTAGCAATATTATAATTTTTTCTCGACTGCGGGAAAAAACAAAAATTTACTCAATCTGTGATTTAACCCTATGAATTTGTAAAGGGTCTAATAAAATACCTTGATTGTTAACATTTTGTTCCTCGAAGTTATCAAAAATCGCTAATACATGAAGCTTTCTGATTAACAAGACAAAGTTTTTACGAAAATTGTTCAAAGAAACACGCAAATTGAATGATCAATTGTTCACTTTATCATGAAGGATAGTCGACTCAAAATAACACAGAAAAAATGTGATCATGTCTGTGTGACGAATATGCCTCCATCGCCCTTCGTTTGGCGATTGAAAATTAAGCTAAGGATAGCATCTTTTCCCACTCTATGTTCCTCCGTTACATTTTATTTCCTTCTCAAAAATTCAAGACAAATCAGTTAGCATGAATTTTATTTCGATAGCGTTCGTTGTTCTTTAATTGTCTCCTGGACGTGGCTGCTGGCACTTGGGCCAACAATGGTCGAGCACAAGAACAGGATGACGAAGCAAGCTGTCTTCTGTCGAGGCGCAACACAGCACGTGGCAAGTAAGTTTTTGTCGAGAAAATTATTTATTTTGAATGAATGATTTTTGTCTCCTGTTACAATTGTGGGCTTATAAAATGTGTAAAGAGAAAGAGATACATGTAGAGGTGTCGGCAACTGAGTTGGCACTTGTTTACATTCCACTTGCAAGCGATTGCGATGCAATCGTCCAATAGCGGTAGAGGTTTGACTGCGGGCCGATGCAATGCGTAATAAATCCTCGATCCTTATTGGATGACTGCATCGCGGTCGCTTGCAAACGGAATGTAAACTAATGCAAACTCAGCTGACGACACTTCTAGGCAAGCAAAGAGCAATTTAGGGGTGTGCTGGATCACGAATATCCAAGGTCTTTGGAAGAGGATTTTTTTAATGATCGGAATTTTTTTCTGCTTTGGCTACCAGAGAATAAGGCGTTGAAATTACGATGATTAAAATTAGGAATTATTTGAACTGAATTCTTTAAATTCAAACCAAGTCTAATTTGGGAGAAATTAGGTAAAAGTAGTATTGAGCTTAACTTCCCGCACATATTTCCTCCTGTAAAAATTCAAATTCAAGAATTACAATTTAAATGTGAAAAAAGAAATTACCCTTTATCTTTAAAATTGACTATTAATGAGGGTTTTTAATTCGAAACTTTTTTCATCGGCTCGATTTTGATGCAAGTTTGTTTCTCTCTTTCAAACTCGGTCCGCATACCCTCTCACAATTCATTCTGTGACGATTTATATGCGCTGTTTACGGAAAAGCAGCTTCGATGAATCAATTTCAATAAGAGATTCAGAGACTTTAACGAACGGTTAGCAAAGTTGCTCTCATGAAATTGTGTTTTCCGAGTCCCCTTTCCATGACAATTAATTAATGGTTGACAAAGTCTGTGGCTGAAAATTGTTAAAAAAAAACCCGACGTAAAACTTACTCAAAACCCCTAAGAAAGAGTACATACAAATGTTATAAAAAAAAAAAAAAAAAAAAAAAAAAAAAAAAAATGGTTCTTATGCTGTCTGACCACCATCTTGTAGTCCTTAGTCAATTCCGAGCTGTATAGTTTACTAATGTGGCTTAGGTTTATTTTTGACCAAATTTTTCTTGAATGAGTTTTCTTTCAGAAAAATTGTAAACTTGTCTAACCATGAAAGCTTACTTCAAGCAGCTTATACGTTCGTTTTTCCTTCTTGTTTGTTACAGACAACCGAAAAAGGTGATGCGAGGACTTATTTTCCATGGTTTTGGTGACGTATTAGGTGTTTCATTGTGTTAGTTTGTCGTGTTTTGGTGTTCATACTTAAAAGTAGTCTCATACTCAGTTGAACTGGACCAACTTTTAATGCGTCAAAATTTTTTATCGTGAATTTTATGTTTAGAATCAATTGACATGTATTAGCGATGTTTCTTCTGTTAGATATCATAGATTATTTCATTATAGTGTCATCCTGATCAAACTAGTCCAACGGAGAAAATTGTAGCAAGTTTATGATGTAGTAATTTTTATACGTAAACAAAAACTGATTTAAAATCAGCTTTAAAGGTTAAAATAGATTAGTTTCCCCTGAATATTATTTTTATAGTCTCATTTTGTGAAACCTGTTTGTTACTGCCAATACTTCGACAATTGACAAATGTTGTCATATTTTAGATGTTGAAAATTATTTTGAAACATTTTTATTCCGGCGACAAATTGAAATTATCAACCCAATATTATAAAAAAGGCAAGGTAATTTAAAATATTCTGCAGCTCATGTAGTAAATGCAACTACATCTGTCCTGTGTTGCGGTCCAATTTCAAAGTTTTCAGTCGCAAATCGTTTCATTTAGTTTGAGTTCGTTCCTCTCTTTCATTTTTGCCAGAAATAATAGATCGACTTTCGAATGACTCTTTTTTTTTTTGCACTTTTTATGTATTTTTTAAAACAAAATGTCCGTGCAATCAATCTCCAAAATCAATCGCAAAGGCGCTAAAAGACAGAATTTTTCCGTTCACAATTTTGTTTCTGTTAAGTTCATCTCTGTCTAATGACTGATTAAATTATATTCAATAGTTTTGATTTTTAATCGAATGATTCTTGATAACAAATTTTGAAAGACCAAAGATCTGGAGAGATGAGAAAGAAAAAAAAACACATTTCTGCCATAAAATTTTTGGGAATCTATTATGAATCGGTAAAAACCCCGTTTTTTCCTTGAAATTATATTTGTTTGTGTTTTGCAATCGCATAATACATTAAAAGGCCGCAAGAATGCACCCCTATTTTCTTTTACAGTAAGTTCAATCAAACTAATTTTCCTTTACGGATTCCGCCGTTTCCCTCACGAAAGTACGCGACTACATTACAATGTTGGCAAACTTTTTTTCGCAAATTGAATTTTTATGAGGCGAATCTTTAGCGTTTCTAAATGAGAAAAACACTGATTTCCCCTGTGATCTTAGACAAAAATCAGGAAAATTTTGTGGAAAAATTGCACAAGGACAATGTTATATAAACTTGAATTTTTTTAGTCAATTTTGCAACCTTGAAACGGAGTTACGTTCTTTCGCCTGAGAAACAATTGGAAGTATTTCCGCCAAAAGGAACTATGTGCATCAAGGCATGAGCCCTGAGACCCATAAGAATAGATGCGTAACAGGGCTCACGTCACAATGCACATGGTTCCATTTAGCAGAAATACGTCCAATTTATTCAAAAGAAAATCTATCTTTAGGCCTAGAGCATTTGCTTCCATCACGAAAATAATGTCGACAGACATTCAATATTAGTTAGTCTATAGTTATTAGTATTTTAGTTTTTAGTACACTTACTTTTAATGTTTACATAGTTTAGTAAATACTGGAAAGACTGTGCGCCCAAGTATTATCAGTCACACACATCTAAGATGGTACTTAAGGCTGAAGAGTGCATGATTATGCTCAAGCTATGCTCCTATGAAAATTAGTTTTTTCAATTGAAGTTTAGGCGGTTGATAATGGTTCAAAAGCTGATACCTTCGTTACAAAATAAACATGTTTTTTCGATTCAGCTTCAGGGGCTCCGAACTTCGTGTTAGATATTGTAAAATTTAGCCACTTAGACCGAAGAGAAGATAGTTATTATACTTAAATCAAATTCACTGAGCCCGCAGTTACGGACCACGAGACCAGAGTGTTTTTCACAGACGTGAGATCGTATGAAAGTATGAGCACGCAAAATGAAAATCTGACACATTAATAGTTCTCTCTTCTGCCTTAATATCCAAATTGAAATCCATGTGACAACATAGTGAAATGAACATTTTTAGTAATTCTAGTACCTGCGTTTTGACTGTATTTCAAAAATAATTTACTGGGAAAATACTGTCATGTCAGTAGATAGTTTTCGAGTTATTCAGACCTTAAATTGTTACTCACTTTTTCAACTCACATTTTAGATCGGTGAGATATACTGGTGTTTTCCCTTCCTAAATAGTGTGAACTTGATTGTCACGTCATCAAAATAACTTTTTAGATTTAGCGTCATGGAGGATTTATACGTAGTTTCTTTCACTCCAAGACTTTTTGTGCATGACGATGAGGATGAAATGTTTATTATTTTGTATATTAGGCCAACTTAGTTAGCTTTTACATTCTTTTAAGCCTATAAAAAACCTTTTAATCAGAAAAAAATCAGAGAGTCACAGTAGTATACCGTTTTAGAATATAAGACCTAAATTCTCAAAATCAAGATTATTGCAACACTTCAATTTAACATTGAGAGGACGAAAACAGCCCATCTAATCAGACCGAAAAACAACTGACACCATCTCAATTAAAATATTTTACCACTGACTGGATATGATCCACATTTTCAGGATTTACAGACTGAAAGAAGCAAGCAAAGAGTTAATTACTACATTTTCTACTTCACAGAAAATTTTGAAATGTGTTTAACATGAAGCAAAAATGTTTAGTGTGAAATTGTTCTGCGCAAATTCTGAGACATCCATCAGGAAAAAAAACCTAACATTTGTAACTGAACACCCCGGGGTATCATTTTTCAGTCTTGAAAAAACTGTTTTTAATTCATTTTGTACTTACAGAAAAACCTGAAAAGTTATGAGTAATCAAATCAGGTGGTATAAATGCTAAAATCTGAGAGTAATTCTGTGACACTCTTGAACATTTTCTCCTATACTTCAAAAGGAGTTAAAGGAGTAGCAAGTAATTCAGAACATTTATGGTATGTAAAAAGAATAATTGCTAATATTTTGAGATTTTGTCATTTTACTTTTATTGAGTAGGTATAAAATCCATTAACTCTGTGCTATTTGACTTACACAGAGCCGTTTGCCCCTAGCTAATGACTCTGTAATGAATTTATGTACTTTAAAAATTGGTTACGTTATACAGTTCTTGTAATAGGACTTTAAGTTGGTTTAGGTTTGTATTAAATTTAAATTTACCGATTCTTTCGACTATTTTTGATTTAAATAGACGATTGAAGTTGAAATAAAATGTTAATCGAGGAAAGGTGAAGAAAAAATTACTCTGTCTTTTAAGAGCGACTGAGCAAACGTGCTAGGAGAGCATCTTACGAAATCAATTTCAACACTGTAAACAAAATCTATAATTTTTAAGAGTGTGTGGGAGTTTCCTCACTTCTTGTCAATTTCCTGGAATCTGGATAAAAAACTTCTGGTTTCAATTCTGCGCCGGTAACCACAGGAACTTCTTAGGAAAAAGGATTCATTAGGACGGAAAACCTGAAGTAGCACTGGTTTGTGATCAATCTTTAGTGAGTGCGCCTTATTTTAAGATAAGTCTAGGTACAAAATACTAAATTTAAGGTAAAATTCTCCTGAGGTACAAGACTTACCTTCATTTTTAGTGGTTAAATGTTTATCTCAGTATAGTGGAAGTAAACAGATGTTGTTATTTTGAGACTAATTTGAATTAGTTGTGAGTTGGCTCCTTTGCTTCTATTTTCTTGTTCTCTTCAATTCTTTTTCTCTCTCTTCCGCTCTGTCTTCTGTGTTTCTCTACACTTTGATATACACCTTTTAGCATGTTTATGGTTTTCAAAAGTCGAAGTATGGAGAAATGTAATTAAGGGAAAATATTGCAATAACATCTGAAAATTTTAATCACGTTTTAGAGCAACATGGAATGCCAACAACCTATGAAAGGTAAACTAGTTGTCTATTTTTTAAAACCATGACGTCCTTAACTTGTGATTGCAGGGTGTGCTTTTATTACACACAATCATACGAATATTAAAAGAGACAATATCTTAATTTAATGTATAATTACACCGATGTGCATGTGTACCTGATGCAATTTGCGAATCCTCATTTACTTTATTCCTTTTCTTTTTCTGCAAAGCCGCTTTCCTAACTCCTTCTCTTTTCTTTTCTGTCTTGCGCCATAAAATTGTTTGTACTTTTCTGTTTTCTCATATCCATTGGCATGCCAGCTGATTTTTTCATTATCAATTTTCATGAATAAAAATAAAATCTTGAGTTAAAAAATATCCATAAGGTGGTATATACATGAGCAATACGTAAGCTTGTTTAGCTATCATAATGACTAAAACTGAATTTAGTTCATTACTCTGGTGTAATTTGGTCTTAGGTTTAAGAAAAGAGAAACATCACGTTTTGTTGAAATCTCTAAGGATATTTAATCTTAATGATCAGAAATAATTAAATCAAATGGCTGATGCCAATACTTGTATCATTTTTTAACATGGTATCCAAACTTTTGGCAGCCTCTTGAAAAAAGAAGTGAAATATGTTGACAAAATTATTGAGGACAGCAGACACATTTTCCACATATTTGCGACATTTTATGCAAAATGCTTAGGGTAATTAGGAAAAACACTATGAGCTTACTTCGTGCGTGACACGAGCGCTACTATTATTACCATTCACAATTAAGTCTGTTCTCTTGTGTCTATTCCCTAAGTTTACGTAAGTTTTGTCCTCTCTATGAGAAAATGTCTCGTCACGGGGCCAGTTCTTTTCACGGGGTGAGGGGTCAAAAGGTAAAACATTCCTGAAAATCCGGAAATTCACCTTTTCCGAAAATATGGTCCGGTCATTCAGGAGGGCCAAACTCTTGGACTCCCCCCCCTCCACCACCTATACCTCTGAAAGTTTCTTTTTAATCAATGGCTGTAATAGCGAGTTCTCAGTGACGGATGAATCGATTTTTTTCGTGAAGGCGTACATTTTTTCGAACGCTCCTTTAATGATTCATTCAGTTCATTGTTGTACGATAGAGAAATTGTTGATAGAGAAAATTAATTCAATTTTTCTCAAGGAAATTTGCTTAATACTTATTTGTGTATATAAAATGCATTGTCCTCGGGAATTTTGAAACATTGCAATCGACTTACAGTTCTGTGTGAAAAAAGTCTATTTTTTTGTGTTTATTAACTAGCGATGTTCGATTACAATTTAGTAAACACGTAGAAAGTGCTAGAAGTACACTTTTGAAAAGAAAGCAATCGTCCTGCGTGTGCACACAAACATTAATCTCAAACTTCAGAAAATTTAAAAGGCTTTCTTACACCGAAAAGAACTTTTAAATACAATCGCGTCGATTAAATTGAATTTTTTGGTTTGAAATTTCCACAAACAATAAGAACTTAAAATCCCAAGCATGACTTTAGCGATCGCATCAACCCCTCAGAACATTTTTAACACTCACTCCGATCCTTGAACCACACGTTTCCTCTCTCATTTTTTCTCCTTTCCAAATCACGCGGAAATTTCAACCTAATATCCGATGTTGGAACTCCAAAACCTACTTATTTGAACTTTATTTTTTTAAAAAAGAATGAATTTGAGTTTCTCTTCTTGAAATTTTCCCTGGATTTCATCTGACGTTTCCCAATCATCCTTATAAAGCCAAAAATTCAATAGCTTTCTTGCGGAAAAAAGAAAAAAAGAAGGGGGAGAAAATGAAGCATGTATACAAATTTTTAAGAAGTGGTTCTGGTGTCCAGCCATTTTTTTTGTTTAAATAATTTGGCTGAGGTCATTCCGTTAGTCTACTTGGACGCCGTTGTTCTCGACTTCTCGAGGTGTTCTGATGATGAAAAAAACATGAACCTGGAGAAAGAAGAATCGTTGCTCTTACATTGTTCATTCTAAATCTTTCATGCTTTTTAGTTGTGATTACAATGTTGCCTATTTTTGTGGGAACGAATGCCAATGATAATGATAAATTTTTCCCAATATTATTGGTTTCACAAAATAAGAATAGCCATCACGTATAAAGGCCGGTAAGAATTGGAATCCAATGCAAGAATTTTAAGAACTAAGATTACTTTTCCCATGAAAAAGGGAAGAAAGTTAGTTAAGAACGTACAGATTTTAAAATGTGTGTTGATGCATTTTGCTCGATAAAAATATTGGTCAGGGTGAACCATTAAATAGTAGTGCTCCTGAATTTAGATTATAGAACCACCCAACCTCATCACCGTCGAACGAAGGAGGGAGGTCCCTACGACAAGGTTGAAAAAATTGGAGAGAGGATCACGTTTAAATAGCTGCACTGTTTTTCCGCTGCCTGTTCATTGCATCAGTCGATGGGCGTTCATTGGAGTGGTCGTCTAATTTGATACTGACTTTTTCAGGTTCTGGAGCTGAAAGACGTGGTGATATCCTCCAGGCGCCCTTCGGCCGAGTCGCAAGTGGAGCCGCCTCACCTCCACCCATCCGCGTATAGACATCACCCACCACATGTTACCACTCATTTTAGGTACGACGCATCCATTTAATTGTCTTTAAGTTGCATCTTCAGTTTTTAGTTCCAAATATCGCCACCAATTCAATATGGCGTAAAATTATTCATTATGAGATACGGTAGACGCTCCGCAGCTCGTGACGTAGGTAATATATAATAAAAAAGCAATTTAAAAATCGGGTAAAAAGGCTAAACCCAAGTAGCATTTCTTAACGGTAAAATCGCTGTATATTGCGATTTTATCGCCGATAAAATCGCCAGGATCATCAACATTTGAGCGATTATTTTCGATCTTATCGCGATAAAATCGCGCTTTTATCGCCTGACAATTGATCGCGATATTTACGAAATAAAAATCGCGATTAATGGCTATTTAATCTCGATTTTATCGACAAGAACCGATCAGGATTTTATCTAACCAAAAATTGCGATTTAATCGCCATGTATTGCAATTTTTAATGCGATAATATCTCGATATATTGCCTCCGATATAATCGCGATAACCAACCGATAAAATCGCCATTTATCGCAATTGACGCTACTTGAGAAATTTCACGAATAAAACCAAAACGTTTCGGCTGAAAACTCAGCTTTCCTCAGTCGGGTAAATAAAAAGAAAAATGGTAAAAATGAAAAATGTTTACCATTTTTCCTTTTACTTATCTAACTGAGGGAGGCTGAGTTTTCAGCCGAAACGTTTTGGTTTTGTTCGTGAAATTTTAGCCTTGTCACCCGTTTTTTAAATTGTTCATTTATTGTATTAGCCACCGCAATCAATTTTTTGTTGAAAAACCAAAAGGTTGGTCATTGAGTCGGTCATTAATCCTACATAACATCAACCTTCAAAGCATCAAAATAAGTATAAAAATGCTGTATCAAGTCACGAAAAAGTGTTAGGGGTTATCCCCTAAATTGGTGGTACTGCCCCAATTTGATGGATGATATGGACATTTCTAATTTATTGCAAGCGCTGTAACTCAAGTTGGGGTAGTACCGCAACATTTGGGTTTGTAACCTAATTTATTGGGGTACTACCAAAATTAATTGGAAATATCCATATCATCCAGCAGACCCTGCCTTTTTTTCTCGGAGTTGGGAACCGCTTTCAATGTGGCGATGTTGATAGTTATTGGCGCTATAATATCTATTTTTCTTGAAGGAACATCTTTAACTCTTTCCTTCTTCTCTTTTTCTAAAAACAGATCTCATTCTCCTGATGTTTGCCAAAGCCCCTCTCCGCACCACTATCAACATTATCATCATGATATCGGATTTAGCGATACAGTTTCGAATGTTCTAGACATACAAAAACACGACCATTATCTTGCGAGGCGGCACCCTCATATAAGAGGAAATGGTAAGTCTTATTCTATAATTTTCATTCATTATTTTGATCCATTTCAATTATATTACGGCTTTGACGCAAAAGATTTTTACTAATAGAAAAAGTTCAAGCTTTCAAAACGTGCTTAACGCATTCCGTTATCCGGAGATAACTAATCAATCATCCATGAAGGTAAAATTGCCTAGCTGTGAAATTGAAGGCGTCTTAGAGACAATCAACTTTGAGATGAAGGTGCGTAACACACACTTCAAAGCTAACAGTGACCTCTTCTGAGAAGCAATTGTCGCGTCTTTGGAAACCCGAAAAGGTCAAATAACAATCTGGCCATTTTAATGATAGCTCTTTGTTTGTAATCGTAATTTTGAAAAATTGATATCCCTTTTTGATCCATACGAAAAAATACTTTTCATCACATAGCGTTGTGGAAAAACGTTGAGTTCTTTTGAACCCATTTTATTACATACATGGAAGCCGCTTTCACAGAGCTCTGTGGCGTTCTGCGACACCTATTCATCCAAGTCCCTTACCCACCCAAAGCTCTCCAGGAAATCGTCACTCCCTCACTTCCTCTTAACCCTCCTGTCGCCACCATTTTATGGGCGTCCCCTTCGTCTCTTCCCAGGAGGTACCCAATCAAACATCCTCTCAAGAGGTCTCTTTTCCTTTATCCTGTCAACATGACTATACCAGACAAGCTTTTCGGTTATGACGTCTTATACGATGTCATTTTCGACGCCCATGATCTGACGCACCCTATCATTGCGGGTCCGATCTCTTCTAGAAATTCCTGCCGACCTCCTCTAGAAATTCATCTCCGTTGCCAAGGTGCACTCTACTCTTGGTATGGAAAAATGGATTTTTATAACATTTTCGAAACGTGTAAATTTGACAGCGTCTAATGGTGCGACTGCGTCACCATATTGAAAACTTGTTAACTCTCTGCTCAGAGAGAGGGTCTCGTCAATGTCGTGTTCTTAGTTGAGTTTTTCGTGATTTTGAGCTTTATCAATTTTTTAAATTCATCTGTTAGCTTATTGAAGCTACCAGATCTGCCAGAACCTCATTTTGAACTGCGCGGCAAAGACGATACGACTGGAGTACCTGTATAGCGAGAGGACGGACAGATGTGAAACTCGCCGAAAATCTATCAGGACTTCACCGATGCTTCTGTGAATGAAGTTAGGGCCCAGAAACGCAGCCAACCTATGAATTTCAAGTATCCAGAACGATTTACTAGTACTATTGTTACGAACCGTCGTTTATAAAGCACGTATTTGACTCAGTTTTTGCATAAATTTACTCATTTTTGCGGAAAACGCACATTTCTGTACATTCTTGGCCACCTTGGTCAGAATTGGAATTTGCAGATTCGGCAGACTGGCATTGAAATTTTGTGTGTTAGAAGTTGGTTAGAAGGATGGCTGCACTTTTGGGCCCCAAGACCTCAAGGAAGCGATCTGTCCATACTCTCGCCATACTCTAGGTACGACTTGCGACGTCACTCAATGGCCTATATTCTCAGCACTGCCACTTCGGCACCCCATATGTCCATACTTGTAGTAGAGTGTACCTTGCTCAGCTGCTCTTAGCATCCCTTATGTGCATCTCTTCAACAGCTAACTTTCACATCCAAATGTGAGAATACTTTTAATTTGATCTCACTGGAAAAAAACACATCGGATCTAGAGTCCAGACTCTTAAAAACATCGACAAGAAAAAGTACTCTTGATTCAATCAGAATTCAGCTTAAATCAAGAACCAAGCCTCTTAATCTAAGCGGATTTCGTTTTAATTCGAGGAAAAATCCGATTGAATCAAGAGTAGTTTTTCTTGTCAATGTTTTCAAGAGTCTAGACTCTAGATCCAATGTGGTTTTTTTCCAGTGCTGTTTATTTACTTGCCGATCGCACTGTTCCAGGTTCCTGGTCGGCGTCGACGAGTCCGGCGCGCTCGCCAAGCCCGTCGCGGGTGTACCCGGCCGGGGGGCGGCACGGCCCCTACGGAACGACGAGCCTGGACCAGCGCTCCCGGTCGCCCTCTCCGCGCTCTTCCGCGCGGCACGGGCACCAGCACAGCTACCCGGTGCTCGTGGTGCGGCGCGGGCAGGGGCGGCGCCTCCCGCCGACCCCGAGCAAGCCCTCCACCCTCCAGCTCCGGCCGTCGTCCATCAACTTCCCCAAACTCAACCCCTCGCCGACGCACTGCCCGCTCCCGCTGAGCTTCGAGCAGGCCGTCGCCATCGGCCGCGGCGGGCGCATCCTCCCCTCGCCCGTCCCCAACGGCTACAAACAGCAGCTCCGCCGACATAGTGATAGCGATGAGGACGACTGGTGCTAGCCTTTGCTCTTTGGCAGCAGTAGTTTGCGGTCCCTCTCGTCCTCGACACCCTAAGTCACTCGCCCTAACCCCTGAAGTTGCGCCCTTTTACATGTGGATTGCATTTTGCAAAAAGGAACCACTAGCATTGCAATGTTGCTTAGATTGTGCAACATCTTTTGTCTTGGAGGAAAACCCGATTATACATTAATAGTTTATATTTTACTCGCTAAAAACTGTAAATTTAAGACAGAAATTACCATCTAAATTTCATAGTTTTTCACGATTTCCGCAATTTTATTGCAAAAGATGAAGTTGCACAATCTTAGCATCATTGCAATGCTAGTGGTTCCTTTTTGCAAAATGCAATCCATGTATAACTCTGCATTCTGCCTCGAGGCCTAGACTACCTATCAAGGGTGCACTGAAAAAAAAAAGATTGGTAGCATTTACCATTCCTTCACGCTGTATTTCACGCAGCGTCAATTCAGAGTTAATTCTGCCAGAAGAAAGCTAAACTTTACCATATACTGGTACAGGTAACCATTCCTCTGGCAGAATCGACTTGAAGATTGGTAGAATTTACCATTCTTCCATGCTGTATTTCACACAGCGTTAATTCAGAGTCAATTCTGCCAGAAGAAAGGTAAACTTTACTATGTACTGGTACAGTTAGTCATTCCTCTGGCAGAATTGACTTGAAGATTGGAAGAATTTACCATTGCTTTACGCTGTGTGAAATACAGCGTGAAGGAATGGTTAATTCTACCAACCTTTTTCATTCAGTGTGAAACTACCAGACTACGTATCTCGGTTTGTGACGTTGCAGACTTCCTGCCGTACTTTGTTTTTTAAATGGAAAAGCGCTTAACTTCAATTCTTGAGAATTCCCGTGATTTTTCATCCCTGAGCAAAGAAAATTCTGTGAAAACTTCATGAAATAACATTGGTTTGTTCTCTTTTAGAAAAATAAAATGGGAACGGATATTTTTAAACACCGCAAACGAGTTACGTGGTTTGGTAGTTTCACCGTCGCTATGATGCAGGTAATTAGCAATCTCCGACAATTTGCAAGCCACTGGTTAATAAATAGATAAGCATAAAATTAAAAAGTAAAGGAACAAGATTAGATGAGTACTGATTATTTTCCCTTTTTGTGAATAGACACCTTTTTCTCCGTAAAAACAGGGTAGTAACAGACACACTCAGGAGAGCGGGTAGTAAAATTCGTGACTTAGGTCGGTTTCAGATCTCACATGCAACTAAACCAACTCCGTAACACAGCGTAGAGTATCAAGAAAAGTGAGGGCGCTCTCTCCAAGCCGAGAACATAACTATGAAGACTTTTACCTATCAAACGTTCATTACGTCAATGCGAATTATTGCGTATAGTTCAAACAACACCGAGACCGCTTGGAAAGTGTCGGCGATTGCTAACTGCGTGCGTCACCCATATAGATTACTATAGTCATGAATTTTGAATCTCAACGGAGTCCACCGAGGCCAGAAGAATGTAAATGACTGTTGCTGTCTTATAATTTGACGTATTTCTGCCAAAAAAAATTGCGTGCATTATGATGTGAGCCTTGCTATGCATGTATTCTTACGGGTCATGTCTTAATGCAAATAGTTCCGTTTGGCAGAAATACGTCCAATTGTCCACCAAAGAAGATAATTTACGCATCTTAATTTAATGATTTGCGTTCGAAAAAAAGACCTGAATTTCAGTTTATTCTCTTCTCCTTTCATGGTGGTACTTATGCAAGGGCGCAACTTAATGGGTTTCCTTACTTAGTGAAAGTGAACGAGATTGGAAAAGAAAGTACCATGCGCTTTTTTTGAAGAATAAAAAATACCTTTTACCAGTGGAAAGAATAGTTCATAAGTCCCTTTGGACTATTCGCTTTAAAAATTGATAAAATTCTGACATGGTGATGGCTGAAGTCGAAAAATGTGTAAATCCATTGCACAGCTTCGAAATCTCCGATTATGTTTTGTTTTTTGAAAAAAATTGATCAAAGTATCTTCTTGAAATTTTCGGAGAATATTCTTGGATCAGTAAAAATATTCCACAGAAAATCATAGGTCAAACTGTTTTTCTTTTTTTTTTTTTTAATAAAACATGAAATTGCACCGGAGCGTTGCGATGTCTCAAATGGAGATACACATTTTATGACTCCAGCCAACGATTCCCAACTGATGGGAATTGTTTTAAGTTTTAGTTTTCTTTCTCAAATTTATGATCATTCACTTACCTTCCAAATCATTCTTTTTCGGTTAATATTTATTACTGAGTCAAGCGCATTTTCTTTGAATCGCCTCTGTTGTACTTCTCAAAGTACTCTACTTAAAATTATTCCCAAATTTTGTTCACTTTGATTTTTGTTATCTATCCGAGTGACGACGCATAGTTACCCTTCCGTACAACTGTCCAATATTCATCAATGCCAAATCTGAAAGTCGCGTTAAGTCCTGATTTCGATACTCGTGTCCATCCAATTCGTTCTCTATTACATATTTTCTTCTCGTGAAAGTATATGTTATAATTTAAAAAAAGTATTTTTCAGGAAATGTCAATAGGTACTTGTTATGGTGAAAAATGCATTATTTTCACTCATCAGCAGGAGACTTTACACTTTCTATTTAAATTATTGCACCACAACCCGAAGAACTTCTACGCTTTTGGGGGTTTGTACGTAAGTAAGTGTACTAAATCAATTTTATTTAAGAAGCATTCTGACAAAATTATTCGAAGAGAGAAAAAATAACCATTAGAACTATGAACTTCAGAGAAGTTGGCGTTAGTTTTCTTTTCTTCTTATACTAAGGGGGATATCTGAGAGAGAAGAGAGCAAGGATTACTCGGTATACGCAGTAGATTAACCGTAATTGACGATTATTTTATTGCATTAGCAGTGTTTGTCCCATGCTTTTTTGTCGTCTAAAAGCACGGAAAATGTTCGTTATTCACGATGAATTTACTCAAAACTTTACATCAGTGAGTGTATTTCTGTTCAGACTTGTGATTTTATTGTGATGCACATTCCAGTTCTATGAATCACACTGCCCACTGATAATTTCAGCCTTAACCATCAAGAAGTGCCTAGAGTTTTTCTTAACAGAAATTCAAATATTCTCAAAATACTTTTACCAAGTTTTCTCCTCTGTGTATGAGCTTTGCGATCTCCTCATAAGGCTTGAACTTTAAACAATGTTCAAATAAGCGTAAATCTGCGTTTTCTACAAACTCGGCTCAATTGAGTCAGATTTTTAAAGTTCTAAAACTTATTTCTGCAGTATCGTTTTTCCCCTAGTTTTTTCCTTATTTTCACTTTTGTACACTCTTTCATGACATTTGTCGGATCCTGAATTATTAAATATGCAAGGACTGACATCCACCTTATTCCTAATGAAGTAAGCTTGTACTACTGTTTCCTTCTCTTAAAGGGAACGGCGCATTTTCTCTCAAACATAACATGCGAAAAAAGGTCAGGTGTCGGTGGTTTAACTGCTTTTCTGCGTGTATCAATACTCTTTCTCTCCTTGAAACAGGGTGTTTGGGTACTCAATTGCCCATCGATAAATTTTAACACTACTATTAATTTTGGTTACGAGAAATGGAAAAGTGCGGTTACGAGCAATGCATTCGTCTTAAACGAGCAGTTAAATCATAGACAACACATCTTTTTACTGATTATGTTCTACTTCTAGACAAACATAGTCACCGTAGCCAATTTATTTAGAAGTTGCTTGATCCGAAATAATCGCGAATGATTGTAAACCTGTACAATGTTTCAATCAAAGGGGCCAATTATATTTATTAGTATCCTTTTGACTACAGCGACTTTCCCCTGTTGATTTCTTTTTTTTTCTATGAGGACGAACATATTGGTATTGATGATATTTGGGCTGTAGATTAAAACAGGAAACTATGTTGATTTCTGTTTTGATCGGAACGAGCTGAACAGGACTACGGAAAGGGCAACCTGAGGGACCACATTTACTGCTACCGAGGACTGCCAATTTTATACTGCCATTCGGGGTCAAAATATAATTAGCTAGGGAAAATTAAATCACTATCCTCAAGTGCTTTAACATAAATTTTGTATTCTTAACGCATCAAATATTCATCCTGTCTGTTATATATTTTTTTGTTTTCACTTTCGTAAATAATTGATGACCTTATTTTTCTCTTACTCATTGTTTCCTCCTCTCTCTTTTTTAATTTTTCTGTGATAATTATATTATAGTTATTGTATTTATTGAATTCTTGTGTTAAATCTATAGTTACTCGAACGCTAGTGCTCAAAGTGTGATCTGTATCTACTAAATTATCTAGGTCATATTTTGAGGCGTTGCGAGTGAATCATCGTCATTCCTATGACATAAAGGCGCATTTTCATTGCCACGTGAGCCTGTTGTCCCTATGATTCAATGCTTCTCAAGGCTCAAGTTGGAATGAGGATACGCCCTCGCGTCAAAGGAGCGATGGCGTATAGAAGAAGATGACCACAAAAAAGAAACTGAAATATGGTCATCTTTTTTTTTTTATCTAGCAAGACTTGTATTTTGTAATTTTGCATAAAATCAACGTGTCCGACTGCACAAGAGTAATATGCTGTATACAAATGATACTAAAATATGCATCAACACATGTAATTTAAGTGTAAATAAATTTTGAGTATGTACATTTCATTAGCGCAAGTACTAATGTGTGCGTTTAATCTGTGCGTTTAATCAAACTTGATAATTTGATGTACCTAAACATGTGTGCACTTTTTTATTTAATTGAAATCCATTCTGCCCCCCTGAGCCCATTCCAGCAGATACTTTTGAACATACAAATATTTTGCATTTTATGAATTCACGATACGTTTTATATTCATTTGATAATCTCTACCATTCAAATAGCCGTACTAATTTTTCTATTGCGTTCAGGAAAATTAAATCTTTTTCTTTTTTTCCTTTTTCTTAGAAGTATTCAAGTTTTCTTGTTTTCCTTTTTTTTATCTTCACTTAGGACTTAACTCTACTTTTTCTTACTCATCACATCAGAGTACTGTCTTATAAATGGAATTTTAAATATATGAAGGTTTCATGATAAAATTATCTTTTAAAAAAATCAATTTCATTTCCAACCGACTGAGATGAGCTAAGACTTTCTGCGCAAACGGAGTTAACTTTCAAAGTTACTTCAAACTGTTATGCAATCGATGGATCTTACATAATTTACTTCCTCTTTCATTTCCTATTATATTTTTTACTTGTAGTCAATCATTGAAATAATTTACGCTTCCAATGAAAACAGCTTTCCTATTGGTTGGATGAAAGTAGGGTTTGACGATAAAAGCTATGGCGGTACAAATCTACATTTTTTCTGCATAAACACTTATCGAAAGCCAATTTGGAGTTCTCTTGTATTTGGGAAAGAAGAAGGTATGTAATGATTAGAAAACTTTAGCCAATTCTGATAATTTCCAAAATAATGAATGAC